AGACGAGCCACAGGACCAGCCGGTCTATTGGAATGATATATTAGAGAAATAGATAAATAATTACTAAGTAGCAGATGAATGTTATGGATGTTGTTTCAACAGTTCAGGTGTTTAACAGATGTTGTTTCAGCAGTTCAGTTGTTTAGCAGTCTTATTGCCTGTGGTATGAAACTGTCCCTGAGTCTGGTGGTTTTAGTCCGGATGCTGCGGTCATGCCTGCCAGACGGCAGCAGACAGAACAGTTTGTGGCTGGGGTGATGGGGGTCGTTGATAATCCTGAGGGCTTTCTTCCTGAGCCGCTGGGAGTAAAGGTCCTCCATGGATGGCAGCTCCGTCCTGGTGATGTTCTGTGCAGTTTTCACCCCCCTCTGTAAGGCCTTACGATTGAGGGCAGTGCAGCTGCCGTACCAGGCCGTGAAGCAGCCAGTCAGGATGCTCTCTATGGTGCACCTGTAGAAGGTCAGGATTCTCTCTATGGTGCACCTGTAGAAGTTGCAGAGTATCCTGGAGTCCATGTTGAACCTCCTCAGCCTGCGGAGGAAGAAGAGCCGCTGTCGAGCTTTTTTGGTGATGGTGGTGGTGTGAAGAGTCCATGTCAGGTCCTCAGTGATGTGGACCCCAAGGAACCTGAAGCTGCTGACTCTCTCCACCGTAGTCCCATTGATGGCGATGGGGGCGTGACCCTCTCTCTGCTGCTTCATGTAGTCCACAATCAGCTCTTTGGTTTTGCTGAAGTTGAGATGGAGGTTGTTATCCTGGCAGCCAGTGTAGTTCTTTGAGCCAGCATTGAGTTTGAGTGATTAGGTCACATGACCTGGAAGGTATTGAAGAAATAAGCTAATTTTTCCATCAAAATATTAATATAAAATATTTAAAGTATTAACATGGAATAAAAAGAGGTGTGTCCTATGCAGCCAGTGTAGTTCTTTGAGCCAGCATTGAGTTTGAGTGATTAGGTCACATGACCTGGAAGGTATTGAAGAAATAAGCTAATTTTTCCATCAAAATATTAATATAAAATATTTAGAGTATTAAAATGGAATAAAAAGAGGTGTGTCCTATGCAGCCAGTGTAGTTCTTTGAGCCAGCATTGATTTTGAGTGATTAGGTCACATGACCTCGAAGGTATTGAAGAAATAAGCTCATTTTTCCATCAAAATATTAATATAAAATATTTAAAGTATTAAAATGGAATAAAAAGAGGTGTGTCCTAAGCAGCCAGTGTAGTTCTTTGAGCCAGCATTGATTTTGAGTGATTAGGTCACATGACCTGGAAGGTATTGAAGAAATAAGCTAATTTTTCCATCAAAATATTAATATAAAATATTTAAAGTATTAAAATGGAATAAAAAGAGGTGTGTCCTAAGCAGCCAGTGTAGTTCTTTGAGCCAGCATTGATTTTGAGTGATTAGGTCACATGACCTGGAAGGTATTGAAGAAATAAGCTCATTTTCCCAACAAAATATTAATATAAAATATTTAGAGTATTAAAATGGAATAAAAAGAGGTGTGTCCTATGCAGCCAGTGTAGTTCTTTGAGCCAGCATTGAGTTTGAGTGATTAGGTCACATGACCTGGAAGGTATTGAAGAAATAAGCTAATTTTTCCATCAAAATATTAATATAAAATATTTAGAGTATTAAAATGGAATAAAAAGAGGTGTGTCCTATGCAGCCAGTGTAGTTCTTTGAGCCAGCATTGATTTTGAGTGATTAGGTCACATGACCTGGAAGGTATTGAAGAAATAAGCTAATTTTTCCATCAAAATATTAATATAAAATATTTAGAGTATTAAAATGGAATAAAAAGAGGTGTGTCCTATGCAGCCAGTGTAGTTCTTTGAGCCAGCATTGATTTTGAGTGATTAGGTCACATGACCTGGAAGGTATTGAAGAAATAAGCTCATTTTCCCATCAAAATATTAATATAAAATATTTAGAGTATTAAAATGGAATAAAAAGAGGTGTGTCCTATGCAGCCAGTGTAGTTCTTTGAGCCAGCATTGAGTTTGAGTGATTAGGTCACATGACCTGGAAGGTATTGAAGAAATAAGCTAATTTTTCCATCAAAATATTAATATAAAATATTTAAAGTATTAAAATGGAATAAAAAGAGGTGTGTCCTAAGCAGCCAGTGTAGTTCTTTGAGCCAGCATTGAGTTTGAGTGATTAGGTTACATGACCTGGAAGGTATTGAAGAAATAAGCTCATTTTTCCATCAAAATATTAATATAAAATATTTAGAGTATTAAAATGGAATAAAAAGAGGTGTGTCCTATGCAGCCAGTGTAGTTCTTTGAGCCAGCATTGATTTTGAGTGATTAGGTCACATGACCTCGAAGGTATTGAAGAAATAAGCTCATTTTTCCATCAAAATATTAATATAAAAATATTTAAAGTATTAAAATGGAATAAAAAGAGGTGTGTCCTACGCAGCCAGTGTAGTTATTTGACCCAGCATTGATTTTGAGTGATTAGGTCACATGACCTGGAAGGTATTGAAGAAATAAGCTAATTTTTCCATCAAAATATTAATATAAAATATTTAAAGTATTAAAATGCAATAAAAAGAGGTGTGGTCAATAAATGTATGCTCTAGAGTGAATTTGCTTCACATTCACACGATCGAGAAGCTGTCGATTTATTAAAAACAACATTTTTCTTGTGTAATTGAAAAGTCATTTGTTGATGGTCCCTAAGTGAAAGCCTCGTTTCGCACAGAAGATCTCCCCGTCGTAATACAGCCAGCAGCAGGGGAAACTGACGCTCCTTGCTGGTCCGCGAATGTCCGTCGAATATCCAACCTAAAACTAACTTCACCGCGGTCAAAAAACACTACAAGACAGTATAAAAATATATTCAGGCAATCATTATTTTTCGCTGACTATTCCAAACAACCGGGGCTGGGAATAAGAATTTGGGTAAGGTTTCTGTCGGGAAAATATCCGCCCCGGAGCTGCTTCCAAGCCAATAAATGTCCTTTTCTTTGCGGTTTTAGAGGCGTAATCACTGTTAAATCATGCTTTAAGACGAAGCAAAGCCCCGATCCGCCGGGTCGTTACAAAAAAACGGACTATTCCCCTCGTTTTCCCCTTCTTCGTCCGCATTGCTGTAGTCGTTTCCCTGTACGCAGCTCCACTGAAAGCACCGCCGATGACTGACTCCCAGGTGCTCCACACTGGCATCAGTCACTCATCCCGCCGTCCAATAGAAAATGATCTTGGGAAAGAGGGCGGGACCTCCCCGTGTGAACACAGACAGCAGGTGGAGGTGTGGTGTGACTTCTGCTACAGGTTCATTCGCTGGCAAACACACAGGTGAACGCCTGAAGGGGCACTTTTTGACTGGTCACGTCAAACTGCTGAATGTGTTGTTATAATAACATTATTATCGTGACAGCATTTAATGATTTACTCCTTTATTTGAAGACATATCTAAGTTCTTGTCTTATTGTATATTATGTTATTGTGTTTTGTGTGTCATATCAAAGTACCAACCTTAAAATTGAATGTATACAGCACTAGAATAGATGTACTCTGCACCTCTGAGTCTGCCTTTAGCTATAGTTCATTTAACGTCTTCCTTTACATATAAAAAACACAATCTGTCATTTAAGGTTCTTATTTACCGGGTTTACAAACATTTGTAATCAGCCCTGCTGCCTGACCTGGGCAAACTCCATCGGCCTCAGGGGTGCTGCTGTAAATGACCCTGACTACTGACCTCTTAAATGGAAAACAAAGAGAAGTTCAGACCCAAAATTATTGAACCACCACATTGTCTGCTTTGCTTAGGTATATACAGCATATATTCTAAAGAAATACGGCAATAATTACAATATGTTTGACAAACCTGTTCATGCAAGTTATTGTAAAGATTACATTACATTTCATTTTGCTGACGCTTTTATCCAAAGTTACTTAGAATAAGTGCAAAAACCATAAAGATTCAAACTACAAACTAGTGCAGATATATTTACTTCAAGCAAGTCATTCCATTGTAAGTGCTGGTGAATTTGTGACAAGGCCTTAGCCAACTCTTTAAAGTGCTTCTTTTTTTCTTTTTGCTGCAGATGCAGACATGTAGACACCACAATAACCATTGAACACCGAGGCAGCTTGTCTGAATAATTACTTTAGGCCTGTCCTGAATACATTACAGGAGTCATATATCAACATTCAATGTAAATTATGCATGTATTATTTCCTCTTTCTGGGGCCAAACAACATGTAAAAACAAGGCATATGATGGTCACATTATTAAATCTAGGATAAATATCAAACAATTGTCATCAGCCTCTGATTAAATCATTTAGTTAATGTCACTTATAGATTACCCTCAATTTAAAAATAAAGTTAAGTTGCTTAGACCTTAAAAGCAGCATGCAGAATCCATAAATACATATGTATACAAACACCGAAATAAAAAGAACAGAGTAAACATATACTAGTACTCTAAATAAACATATGTAGGATGGAAAGGGAAAATTAAATTTGGAAATCATGATACATTTGCCCAATTAAGCTGATTTGAGAAATGTCTTTACCAATTGTTTTTGAAGGGTTGTTTCCAGTGGCATCATTCACACTGGATGACAGAAATCCCAAGAGTGCCTCATCACATGATATTGTATAAGTTCCAAGATCACGCTAACAAGTGCCCCGCTGCAGTAAATTCTTAAGAGGATTACCTCTCAGCTATTTTAATCTAATTATGAAAGAAACAATTTCTCCCTTATTTTGTTTAGCTCTTATGAGATGGCAATAATTACAAACATGACCCATTTTCTATTAAATAATGAAGTTGATCTATATCAAATGAATATGAATGTATTTCCCTAGGAAGCATATGTTGCACGGCTAACTATGGAGCTTTCAAGACATCAACTAAGAACGAATGAAAAATTAAATCTCTGCCAAGGAAAGGTTTATTCCAAAAGAAATCGAACTGCCCACTATTTTGTAGGGCCGAGGTTCCTCAGTCATAAAAAGGTTACTTCCATTTAACAGGTATAAATCGTTTTTTTTTTTTATTACAATAGGATTCAAGACAATGAGAAAATAAGTTTTAGACATTTGCAGAGACCAGCCTGTCAATTAAGAACTGGTGTTCCATAATTGAAAAACATTATGCTGTGGTGAAAGGAGAACTTTAAAAAAATGTTAACCCAAAATGTCTGACTGGTCACGAGTAGACACTCAACACCATATGAAATACATTATACAGCATCAATACAGCAGCAAACATTATCTGCTAGTAAAGTTTAACAGCTGCACCTATTACAAAAATCGGTTAGGAACTGAAAGCAAGGCAATTCAATAGTAACAATTCATGTAGTTTCAAAAATATTTTACAGCCTTTCTAATGTTCAACTTTCATGCAAGCTCTGGTTTTATGTAAGTGTACTTGGACATAACACTGCAGCCAGAGTATGATTTTGAAATTCGTGACATATGTATACAATTTAAGTCATCTTTTCAGGATCACAGAGTCCCATACTAGTGATCCTCAAACCAACAATGTGAGGCTTGAATGCTCAGCTCCACTTTCAAATGAATGCCTAATGTTGAGAGAAACTAGGCTCCTCCCCCTTGTGTTTTCCAGGGCAGATCTCTACGTCAGAGAAGATTTCTCTGCATTTATAAAGGTGTACAAACGTTTTTTTCTTAACTATTTTTTTCAAAATGTTGCCTGGAAGTAAAGTCAAACTCAAAAAGACTTCAATTACAGTTATCCCGTAACCGCATATAGGTGTTTCATCATAGAAAACTGCTCAATATAGGATTTGAGCAAAACTACCCTGAGCTTCAAACTTGAGAAAGACTGACACCCTATGGCCAATAGTAATACAGGTTCATATCTCTTAACTGTACTACACAATTCCACAGAAGGCAAAAAATGAAGCCATTCTGTTTCTGACTCATGTCAAATTATTTTTAAAATAAAGTGGATACAACTAAGCAAATACACACATTAAAATATGGAGCATATTTAATGTATCAACATAAAATAGAAGATTGCATCTTTGAAAAAATTGAGTGAAGAAGATATCTTTCAGTCCTCTTTAAGCCCTCCAAAGACAGCTGTAGGGACACTCTTCTGTTCAAGCTGCACCTCTGTGAAAAGACCAGAGGATCAAACAATTATGAAATGCATGTTTACAAATAAGACCTGTCTGCATGTATGTTTAAAAGAAGACAGAATATCACTGCTGAGGCTGGGCCTATTGTGACAGTAGCTCACCTTCTGGTCCCTGGTTATTATCATCTTCATCATCATCACCGATGTCGATCTCATCAGGATTAGCTTGTTTGGCAAGTTCAGCCAACTCAGTGCGAGAGGTGTCACTCCTGCATTGGTAGATACAAAGAGTGAGATTAATGTGTGGCCAGTTAGATTCTAACATGCATCAACGCCAAGCAATTCATCTCACGGGAACTGCACAGGTTTTATATATAGCTTTTCACAAGAGTAAGAAAAAAAGACAAGCGATGGAGTGAAAAAAAAGGCTATGGACAAACCTGACAAAGAGAATTTTCTCTTTGGGCTTGGGTTTGTCCTGCTCGGCCTCTGCAGCGAGCTGCTGTGCTTTCTGTTCCAGCATTTTCATGTCATCAATTCCCATTTGGCCTGGAGCAAGATCGGACACTGGGTACAACAAACACGGAAACATTAACATATATTATGACATTCATTATTGGGCAGTTCAGGGATCTAGCCTGAGGACTTGGGACAAATAGCATGTGTGGATACACCAATAATATGATTTAACATCCACACAATGTTTGGTACTGCTCAGACAGTTAACAGCTAAAGAGTTATAACAACCCCTCTCACCTGTGGAGCTTGTTGTGGCCTTCATCATCTGAGAGGTCATAAAGTTGACCTGGGTGTTGTAGGTGGCTTGGACACTGCGTTTGATCCTTAGCATTTCTCTAATAGTGTCTTCATTTCCATGGCGGATCTCAAATTCTTTCCATGTTTGCCAGAAAGTTGCGGTCACCTATGAGGTAAAGTTCAGACATTTTTAGAAAAGTGCCAAGATTTTCACACCACTGTTTATGATACAGTTTATTCAGAAACGATAAATGCCAGGGAGGTAGGTTATCTCACCCGTGGGTCACAAATCTGGGAGCAGTAGGAGTAGATTGCTCGGGCCCGATCAATTTCCCCGAGTTTACTCTCCATGTCGGCAAACCGCAGACACATGTCCCTGGCATGCATATCAGGAAGGACCTGGATAAATAAATACAAATTGATTTCCATTATTTCAATATCAATAAAACAGTTAACCGATCATTTTAAGAGCAAATATTTTTGATTATATAGGGAAAAAAAGCTTCAATACAACATGTCATTTTCATAAATGCTATCCCATGTACCTCAATAGATTTCTGGTAGATGGCTCTTGTGTACGTGACTCCATAAATCTCAGCTGCTCTTTTGATGTATATATTGAACATGGTATGTCGTTCCCCATCATCTACTGCCTGCGTTGCTCTTTCGTAGACGGCCATGGCATGTCGTGCCAATCCATATCCCTCCTCCAGTTTGGCATACAGCAGGTAAATGGCTGGAAACCAAGGCGAAGTGGGACATTCAACATCAGTACACTTTATACAGAAAAAATATGAGAAACAGTGTGCCAATAATCTGCACACAAATTGTCAATGTTAGTATAACAAAGCCACTTACTCTTGGCAAACTTGGCAGGGCAGCCGTCGAGGGCTTGCTCAAATAAATCCCTAGCTCTTTCCAGCTTCTTGCCCCCATAACGATCGATGAACTTGGTGAGGTAAGTGTTCCAGATGTCATAAACATTCGGCCACCTAAAGAGAGCAATACCTCGCTCGTATGCCTAAAAAAAAGGTATTGACAAAGACATTGAAGAATTGTTAGAAGGGTTACGTTGACAAAAGCAAGAACACACTGGTTTTAAATGTTGGTTGAGTTCATTAGTAGCATGTTCTTACTTTAAAGCTTTCCTCATAGTAGTTGTGCTCTTCGAGGAACATGGCGTAATTGATGATGATCTGTGGTGTGGCGATGCGGAGGTCAATGATCCGGTCATACACTGCTTTTGTGGACTGAGGAGAAAGAAAATGGGGTACGAATTTAATTCAAAATGTGTAACTCACACAGATGAATGACAAATCTGATTTAAAAGCAAACAGTGAGTAAGACTTCTAACACAATCAATAAATATCTCAGACATTTCCTGACATATATACACCTTCATATATTTGGCTCATTGTAGTAACATTCAGCTGTTGACACACAGACATTGTGGACATACCTGGAAAGTGCCGAGACTCTCCTCCAAGTCCGCCAGCATGGACCAGACCTTCAAGGACTTGTAAACTCTGTTCTGGACCGGCTCAGATACATCAAAGTACTCAGCCTTCTTGGATGGGATGGCTGTAGCTTTCTATATTTAAATAAAAAAACAAGTTGTCAATTATTTAAAATGGTGCAATCAGTAAAACACTTGGTCAGAGCCTTAGAAGCATTTTAAATCAATTCCAGTCAACTTATCTGTTGCACAGATGTCATACTCTACACAGGCAGAGCTTCCCCAAATGTATTTTGTGGTCAATACTCTAATCTCCTAGGGCCCTAAACTTTCAACTATGCACTGTTCACATGGTTTTGTTTCCACCGAACAAGTGAATTGTTTGAAAGAAGGAGAGCTTCAAAAAGGCGACAAACAGAATGTCGTATTTTTTAGTCAATAGTCAAGCTAGTGTTTTATAGTTTAATGTCAAACTTCTACGTATTACACAGATATGATTTGCGGCCTCAGGTTTCATTTATGGACTACTGTATCCCACACCTTGTTTGGAATCTTGATATAGAATATGCTTTCAAAAAACATTTGGAGGAAGACAATGTTATTGTAGTTTCTCAGTCCTTCCACTAGATGTTACTAAACATCTAGTGTACATAGTGCTGCTATTTTACTGTTATATCCAATGACTGCAGATGTGAATTAAGTGTCTCACCCTCAGTATACGCAGTGCCTGTTCATAGTTCTCATGGCGAAGCTCCATCTCTCCATATTCACACCACACCGCAGCGAGGTCATCAACCTGCTTGTAGTTCACCTTAGTAGCCTTCTCAAAAATGGTCCGGGCCTGTGTGACAGTCATTAAATGTGAGACATACCATGATTAGAACAAGTTTCTCATATAATTTACAGAGAGTTTTTTTGAATACCCGTTTTAAAAACCTCAGTGACTTACATCCTCAAGCTGCTCATTTTCCTCATAGAATTTAGCGAAGGAAACCCAGAGAGAGTGAGGCTTCCCGGTGGCCTTCATTGGATCCACCGTCTGCACTGCCTCTGTGTACGTGTTGATGATCTGCCAAATATATGGTGAGCACAGATCTATTAGTAAGGTAGACCATACATTTGAGTTAACTGTGTATGTTGAATGTTTTACCACAATAAAATGTGGGAGCAAAACAAATTTGAATACAATTTTCAAAAAGGCCTCACCTGCCGTGCATTGCCGTCATACAGTTTAACCCGCTTGTGCCACTCATGTACATTATGAGGGTTCTGTCGCAGTAGAACACTGTTCAACAGGAGCGGCCGCCGGGCTATCAGCTGCTCAAAGCGGGCCAGTCTAAGCTCCATGTCTACATCCTCTGGGAAAAGAGGGACAGAGAGTAAAGCATGCATGGTGGAGTGCAGTGAAAGTGAAGTATGTTGCAGATATAAATGAATCAGCACTCACCCTCTTCATCTTTTCCCATCTCAGCAGTGGCCTCCATCTTAGCTGCGATCATGCTCTCTTCAAACTGGGCATAACTATCAAACACTTGCGTGAAATCCCTTACAGTTACCACCGTGAGGATGGCTTCCTCATAAACATCACGAGCCTGAGAAAGAAAAATGTATAGGTTTAGTAAATCACATTAATGTTAATTCAATTGAGGCAACCTAACTAGATATTTATAAGTGTTGGGAAAATACTGAATGTACTCTTCCAATATCAGAGTAGCACATGATAACAAAGGCCCTACGTAGCTGTGTACGTAACAGGATGTATGGTTACCTATAAGAGCATCAGGACTGTTTTAGGAATATGATAGCAATACGATTAACATGATGATTCAGCCTCTATGGAGATAGACATATGACAAGCACGATAATTTCTGACGTGGGTCTTAGCTAATCTAAACTAAACTTAGTATACTGCTTTGAACCGGTATTCCTCCATCATGTGACTGTGTAACACTCTCTCTTGTATATCAGCATGTGAAGGACACTGTTCAGGAACTAGTTGTACCATATGCTCTGTATGTGATGACTACTTCCATTCTTGCAAGGATAATAATTACATGTATCCTGATATTGAAGCTCAAGCCGGTGACTAGTGATATTTTTCTAACAATAAGGAAGAGTAGTATTTGGGATAAATAACATGATATCAATATGTGTTGCATGAAATGTATACAAATTGAATCTATTCAAAAGAAACACACCTTCTCAAAGTGACCACTCCTGATGTAATAGTCAGCTAATGAACACCAGAGTTTTCCAAGTTGGTCTGTGAAGCGAGTGAGGCCTCCTCTGATGATGGCTCCGACATTCAGAGATGTCACTTTGTCAGGGTTCTGGGAGATCAGGTCGCAGAGCTCATGCCACAGCTGTCCAAAAGAATACATGTTGAAACAAGAGTTTTTATTTTGCAGTTCGTGCTTACAAAAATAGGCACCCAAAGTGCTAGGGTAATATTATCTTACCTGATAGTTAGACTTGCCCTCTTTGGACACAAAGCTCTCGTCATTGACAACAGCTGCTAGTCGCAAAGCTGCTTCATCCAAGCGGCCAACAGTACGCAAGTAGTCTATGTATTCCTCTGTATTCTCCGGGGAAAGCTACATAGTACAAAGAGCAGACAGCACACATTGAGGACATTTCCAAGTACAGCAAAAAAAAGTTCAATTAAATGTCAACATTATCATTCCCTTTCAATGGTAATATGTCAAATAAATTGTCCTATTAGATGAGAACTTTTAAAAAGAAATGTTCGTATTCATATCTATCATACCACATCACATACATTCTTTATAAATTGCCACTGAAAGTGCACAAACACAACTATCAGAGTCATCAGAAACTGTGAAAGAAACAAATGACAGTTGGGTGTATAAAACTAGTTTGTGACCGATGCTCTCACCTTAAGGTACCTGCGATACACCCGAATGGCTGTCTCAGGCAGGGGCAGGTTACGGGCAAAGCGGAGATACAGAGGCCAGATACGTGGATGCTGTGTAACAGGAAGAGCTCTGAGGGCACGGTCAAATGTTTGCCGACTTCTTGTGATCTTGCATTGAGAAACAAGAAACTGGCAGTAATCAAGCCATAGTCTCGGCATCTGGTTTAAGGAAAGACAAGGTGGTTTAGTTCAAGCACACAGACCACAATGTAATATTATTGTGTGCTGTCCAGTGGATTTGTATGGAGTTCTTAAAGTTGTATTACCTTGTGCATGAACACTAATGCCCTTTCATGGCAATTATTGACCTCTTCATATCCTGGTTCAGTGACACATTTCCCTTTGATTTGTTTCCGTCTCTCTCTCAGATAATTGTACCACAGCTTATAGCTTTAAAAAAAAAAAGGGAAAAGAAAAGTATTACACCATAAGCAAATAGCAATTGGACAAATCTTAAAACGAATATGACTCTCTTCACAGGAATCACAGCCTAAATAAAAGTTAAGGTATTTAAAGATAATTAACAACGCACAACAGTGATGTAAAGAAACATGTCCTATCTTAATAAAAAGCTATACAAGTTGTAGGATTAAAATGTTGATTTGCAGGTATCCCTAGCCACCTGTTTCTCTTTACATGTCAATGCGTTCACTAAAAGGTCCCCTGTACCGTTAGATAACTTACCTGCCAGGCAGCTCCTTCAGAGCCCTCTCATAGATCATGTTCAGGGTGGATCTTCCTGCATTCTGCTTGAATTCGATGTAACGCATCCAGCACTTGACCGAGTATGGGTTCCTGATGATCTCTTCTTCATAAGGGAGATCATCGTCCTCCTAACAGAGGCAGAAATCCCATAACATGTTAAGTACAACTGTAATAACTTTTTGAAAGAGTTGCGTCTGCTAATGGCTAACATTAGCGCCACAACGTAACGTGAACGTCACAATAACAATTCAGTCGTAAACTGCAAACGCAATTAATTAACAAAAGCTATTGTAAGTTCAGAATTAAAATATTTTAACACAAGTAAGGAGCCAATATTGTGTGACAACAAAGATGTGATTCCAGGCAAACGAGCCATAACAAGCTAACTGCAATACACACGGCCAAGCTAACGTTAGCGCGCCAGTTAAAAGTTAGCTAGCTAACAAACACTCATAAACGCTAGCAGATAACACACAAAATAATAAATGGTGTAGCTTACAAACATAACATCGGGTTTTCCGTTTAGCGAAGGCATTTTTTTTTTCTTGAAAGATATGGCCGTTTGAGATTTAAAAAATGAATGCGAAGTGTAGCTAACTGCATGTGCGTGTAGTCCTCAGTGAGACTTCCGGCTTCGTCACTACACGTCACAATCTTGGCAAATGTCGGTGGTTACCGGTGTTGTGTCAAATGATGCACCCCCATCATGAAATGCCCCCCTTGTCACGGGAACGCGCATTTCTAAATGACACGTTTACACCTTAAAACGATGTTTAAAACGAAAAGTAAACGTTCAGGGTTTTTATTAATGGTAATTTTCAGACTGTGAGTTGTTTAGTGGTAGCTCATATAGTCTTGATTCTTGTGGTTAAACTTTTCGCTCCGTATTTGATGGTAGTGGTGTCGAAATTCATTCGTCACTTCCTTTTCAGTTTTTGTTTTTTTTAATCTTTTTATTTTTTATTATTGTTACGTCCTGTCTGTATACACGTGCTTTACAATGTATTGTTTAATTTTACATATTTGTCATATAATAATCAAGTCTTTGTCAGCATATTTTTGCCACGTTATGCACCCCTTGCTATTTTACATAATAAAAGTGTCACATTCATGAAACTTGCTAGTCCTATAACTATACACTGAAAAATGTTTGAGGGTGGGATTAATAAAAACATCTTTTTGGGTGGGGTGCATTTTATGACAGGCCTGGTTATCACAATATGCTATTTTACAAAATAAAAGTGTCACATTCATGAAACTTGCTCCATTTATTGGTACTAGTCCTACAACTATACCCTAAAAAATGCTTGAGGGTGGGATTAATAGAAACATCTTTTGGGGTGGGGTGCATTTTATGACAGGCCTGGTTATCACAATATGCCCCCCCTTAATATCTTACAAAATAAAAGGGTCACATACATGAAACTTGCTCCATTCATTGGTACTAGTCCTAGAACTATACCCTGAAAAATGCTTGAGGGTGGGATTAATAGAAACATCTTTTTGGGTGGGGTGCATTTTATGACAGGCCTGGTTATTACAATATGCCCCCCCTTGCTATCTTACAAAATAAAAGTGTCACATTCATGAAACTTGCTCCATTCATTGGTACTAGTCCTACAACTATACCCTGAAAAATGCTTGAGGGTGGGATTAATACAAACATCTTTTTGGGGGGGGGGTGCATTTTATGACAGGCCTGGTTTATCATCCGAGTCAGAAATAAAACAAATATGGAGTGAGGGCTAGTCCTGCAATTGTCCAACACATTTACATACACACAGTAATTAATAATACATGTTGAATGAAATAAAGAAGTAACATATTGTCCATACTAAAATTGTGTACATTATCACACATAAAATAAACATTCATTTTGAAGATTAGAGTCCAGTGACATGGTAAGCAATCAAAGTCAGTGTGAACAACATGTCATCTTTAACCCTTGTGTTGTGTTCGAAAGCTGTTACTGTTCTGACACCATAGTGTATTGGCACCCCCTAGTGGCAAAAGTCGGTACTGTAGCTTTAAGGCACCAAATAGCGCGACTCTCCTTCTTGTGTTTTAGTTTACACAGCAAAGCCATGCAGAGCACATCGTAGCTCAGTGCTATGCCACAGATCATTTTGTTTTAATCCTTGGAGTAGATCTGTCTGTAAGTATACAAACTTACCTGTGTGCCAAGTTATGTGTTTCTAAAATGTGGTTTAATTGATTGTGTGGTTTCAATGTTTAAGATAAGCTAAGCTAACTAGCTGCTAAGCTAACGGACATAGCTCATTCTTAGCATAGGCTGTTGATTATACTGCACTCTATTTGCATTATGTTGCACATGTATTATTTCAATTGTGTAACTTGTGTTGTATTTTTCTGTTTATTCTTGCAGTTTTACAATTTCAAGCCTCAGTAAATGGTCAACTCAACAACTGTCTTTGTTCGCTATCTGTTAAGCTATGCAGTGCGATGCATACGCAAGGGCAGAATAGTAAAAAGACACTACACAGCTGGAAAGGCAGCGAAATAATTCTGTGATCAGCACGCTACTACTTCAACCTAAAGACTCATTCATCAGACAGCAGTAAGATGAATGACCAGGAAGAAGAACTCCGGTCTGTGGAGACCAGGTCCCGGGCCTCAAGTCACAGGTCATCAACAAGGTCAAGCAAGTCATCTGCCAGTGCTGCAGCGACAAGAGCAAGAGCTAAAGCCGAAGCAGCAAAAATAAAGGTATCCTTCGCAGAAAGGGAGGCAGCCATGATGAGGCAGAAAGCAGAGGTGGAGGCAGCCATGATGAGGCAGAAAGCAGAGGTGGAGGCAAACCTTTATGTTTTGAAGCTGGAAAGTAAAGCTGTGGCCGCATCTAAAGAGGCAGCCATATTTGAAGCAGCTGCAGCAGATTTGGAAGAAGGACATCTTGATGAGTTACAGGATGTAGCTCAGGAGGATCCAGCAAGACGCACAACAGAATACATTGATAAACATTCATTTTTACAAAACACCCACCAACAGTTTCAAGACGTGGAAACACAGAAACTCACTTGTCACAACAACGGACAGCAGGGCATACATTGGCCACACAAGGGTGGAGATGAGCACAAACCCACTGAGGACCTACACTATGCATCTCTTCCTGTCTCTCCAGCATTCGTTCCAAATAACTACTCAGCTCCAACTCCTCATACTCCTGATCTTGCTCAGTATCTCGTGAGAAAAGAGATGGTGAGTTCTGGGCTCCTTGCCTTTGATGATCGTCCAGAAAATTACTGGGCATGGAAATCATCATTCCAAGCAGTTACAAGGGAGCTGTATCTGTCTGACCACGAAGAGCTCAACCTCCTTGTCAAATGGCTTGGACCGGAGTCAGCAGCACATGCAAAGCGGATAAGGTCAGTGCACGTTCATAACCCCACAGCAGGTGTCAATATGATATGGCGGCGCTTAGAGGAATGTTATGGATGTCCAGAGGTGATCGAAAATGCCCTTCTAAAACGAATAGAGACATTTCCAACCATCTCAAACAAAGACATCCACCAGCTCAGAGAGCTAGGTGACTTGCTACTGGAGATAGATGCCGCTAAATCTGGTGGATTCCTGCCTGGCCTAGCATATTTGGACACTGCAAGAGGTGTTAATCCAATAGTGGAAAAGCTTCCTTACAGCCTACGAGAGCGCTGGGTAACGCAAGGCTCCAGGTATAAGGAAGATTATCTTGTGCCTTTCCCACCTTTCAGCTTCTTTGTGAAATTTGTATGTGCCCAGGCAAAGATCAGAAATGATCCAAGTTTTGCATTCAGTCTCTCCTCTTCCCAAAGTGACATTAGAGTGGATAGAACACCTAAATACACTCCGAGAACAGCTGTTTCAGTTAGGAAAACTGAAGTGACTTCTTCTGCCTCACAGTCTAGCTCAGCTATCAAGACAGAGGAACCAGACAAACAATGCCCAGTGCATAACAAGCCTCATCCACTGTCAAAATGCCGTTGGTTTCGAGGAAGACACCTTGATGAGAGAATAACCTCTTTAAAGGAGAAATCCATCTGCTTTCGATGTTGTGAATCCACAAAGCATATTGCCAAAGATTGCGAGGCAACACTTAAATGCAAGGAGTGCGAAAGTAACAAACACACCTCAGCCATGCATCCTGGTCCAGCTCCTTGGTCGTTTGGTATGTTCAGACCTGAGAATGAGCAAAGCGGCGAGTCTGGAGGACAAAGGCCACCTGAAGTAACTTCCATGTGTACAGAAATCTGCTGTGGTGCTCCCAAGCCCAGATCGTGCTCGAAAATTTGCTTGGTGAATGTATACCAGGCTGATTATCCCAACAAGTCACACAGAGTGTATGCAGTGATGGATGATCAAAGTAATTGGTCGTTAGCAAAATCACAGTTCTTCAATCTGTTTGGCTTGAATGGCAATGCATCTCCCTATACTCTAACAACATGCTCAGGCAAAGTAGAGACAGCAGGAAGAAAAGCATGCAACATTATAGTGGAGTCACTTGATGGGAAAACTAAAGCAGCACTCCCTCCTCTGTTGGAATGTAACAACTTGCCTGACGACAGGTCAGAGATTCCCACTCCGGAGATCACACAGTATTTTCCACACCTCAGGCAAGTGACTGACAAGATTCTTCCCCTCGACACCAATGCTCCTATTCTCCTTCTGCTCGGAAGAGACATTCTGCGTCTACATAAGGTGCGTGAACAGTGTAACGGGCCTCACGACTCACCCTACGCCCAGCGCCTTGACCTTGGCTGGGTCATAGTTGGAGAAATATGCCTGGATGGGACTCACAATTCAAACAATGTCAACGTCTAAAAGACCCATGTCCTTCAAAATGGACGCCCATCCTTTCTTAAGCCGTGCACAAACAGCATTCAGGTGAAGGAGAGGTTAAATGGTCCAGCCAAGCATCATCTTCCAGCCCCATCTCACAGCCTGGAAAACGTCCTTAATGGAAGTTTAGATTGTATAGGAGAAAGTGTGTTTCGAAAAACACCTGATGACGACAAACCAGCTCTGTCTGTGGATGACAAGGTCTTTCTCCGAACCATGGAAAACGAGGTGTATATGGATGATGAAAACCACTGGGTGGCACCACTGCCCTTTCGCTTCCCCCGCAAGCCCCTTCCTAATAACAGGGAACATGCCTTGCAGCGTCTCTCCTCTCTCCAGCGCTCATTCAGAAGGAGACCAGACACAGAGCAAGAAAATAAGACTGAATCATTTGAACTTGTGCAACCAGAGACTGATAAAGAAATGTATCCTCAAGTGATCTCTCTTGCAACCAAGGTCACAGAGCAGAGTCTCGGATCACAACGGTTCAAACATTTCTCTACTTGGAAGGCTCTAGTACAGGGGTCTCCAACCTTTCTTCATCTGAGAGCTACTTTTAAAAAATTAAAGTGGCCAAGAGCTACTTGCATCACATCGCTTACATTTATTCACATAGCCCTCATCAGTTGAATTAAGTTATACTTTTGTACACGTGTGAAATTGCAATACCTAAAGCTTATCAAAAATCTTAACTTCACATCAAGGTCAAAGAAAACGAAGATTTCTCACATATTATTACGGCCCTCATAGTAAGTACATCACTGAACATTCACATACATGTCCTTAATCACCACCTTTCAAGCATTTCACTATTTTGTACAGTCAGTGAGATGAATGGCACTGCATGCAGTCCACCATACAGGTGTATGCTGGACCCACTTAGGTTCACTCTAATAGAGTCATTTAAATGTACATCAGTCAGTCTTGTTCTGTATTTAGATTTCATTCATGTCAGAAAAAGCTGCTTCACAAAGGTATGTAGAACAGAACCAAATAAAGCAGACATTTTCCGTGCTGCTTGGTGAATGTTCTTATAGTTTTCTGGGTCTACAAGGCTCCAGAAATGTTGTGAGTTTTGCTGAGACTTAAGCTGAACATTATTTTGGATATCTCCACAGGATTGACACTGAACAGTTGTTCAGCCATCTTTTTCTTCTTCTTCTTCGTGTTGACATTAAATTATAAACCATAATACATCAATTGTATAGGTCCAGCCTCCCTATATCTGTGTGTGAAATTGTTCCATCCTCAAAAACAAAAAACTAATACTTCTGCAGTCTAGCTGCAGCTTCTAGCAACGGTCTTCTGTTAAAAAAAAAAGACAGTGAATGTCCTGAATGTGGCATCACACGCATGACTTAAGTCTGAACACAGCAGACAACAGGAGTATTTACAATAGCATATACAAACAAAAATAGTGCATGTGGGTGCACACTTACATTCTCTGTCTTACTGTTACATAAATCCCATGAATGTATGAGATTAAGTTAGCTTCATCATATCTCAATCAGTGATTAAGTGAATAATAAAGTTTCTATCGAGTCACTATCAGCTTGTCACTCATTATATTCAGGGAGGGGGCGGGGTTTGGAGGAACGGAGAGGAGACGGTGATCGCGGAAGCTTTCCTCCTGCCTTCACAAACTTTACACAAGTATTTATCAACTGAAAATAGCAAGAGGACATTCATACTCTGCAATCCAAGACTTGATTAAATCCACCAAAAACCTGACATGACGATAACGAGTGTTTTTCAAAAAACACAAATCCCTCCCTGTGTGTCTCTGAGGCGCAGCGACAGGGCCTGATTCAGAGCGGGTCATTCTGCTGTTGGTTCTGGACTGGTGTTGGTGGAGAAAGCAGACTGCTCCGTGTGTGGTGTCGCTGTGCCGCTGTCACGTCTGTTCCTTGATCTCTGCGCACTGAAAAGCTGCCCGCGAGCTACCGGTAGCTCGCGATCGACGTGTTGGAGAGCCCTGCTCTAGTAAGAGGTATGGCAACGCTCATTCATGTAGCCAAGTCCTATTCCAGCAAGTCTCACACTGTAGAGTGCAATGGATGGCATCACTGCAAACAGTCACACACCTCAGAGCTCTCTCAGGCCAAAACAATCATCTTGAAGGCAGTGCAGCAGGATGTTTACAAGAACGAGGTGGACCGCGCAACTCAGGGCATTAATGTTCATAGCCACAACTCTCTTGTGAAACTGGACCCTTTCTTGACAAGGATGGATTGCTGAGAGTTGGGGGTCGCATCCATAAAGCCCAATTGGAAAACCAAGAGAAACATCCACTCATCCTGCCAGCCAGTCATCATGTTGCCACTCTCTTAGTCCGACACTATCATGATCAAGCAGCTCACCAAGGTCGCCATTTAACAGAGGGCGCACTGCGCACTGCCGGTGTCTGGATAGTAGGAGGGAAGAGGCTCATTTCGAGTATAATATTCAAATGTGTCATCTGCAGGAAGTTGAGAGGCAAGTTTGAGGTTCAGAAAATGTCCGATCTGCCTGCTGACAGACTGTCCATGGATCCACCTTTTACACATGTAGGGCTTGATGTCTTTGGTCCATGGAGTGTGATAACTCGTCGCACAAGAGGTGATGCTGCTTTGAGTAAAAGATGGGAAGTCATTTTCACATGTCTCAGTACGAGAGCTGTTCACTTGGAGGTTATTGAAACCATGTCCACCTCAAGTTTCATTAATGCCTTGAGGCGCTTCCTGTCGATTCGTGGACCTGTCAAACACCTCAGGTCAGACAGAGGCACAAACTTTATTGGAGCATGCGGAGAGCTTCAGATAAACACGGACGATCCTGAGATCAAGGACTATCTGCAAGACCATGGTTGTACATGGATATTTAATGCACCTCATTCCTCACTTATGGGTGGAGCTTGGGAGAGGATGATTGGTGTGGCTCGACGGGTCCTTGATGCACTGCTGTTGAAGAATAAGGATAAACTGACCCATGAAGTCCTGGCCACTTTGATGGCTGAAGTTATGACCATCATGAACGCCAGGCCTCTGGTTCCCATCTCTTATGATACAGATCTTCCTGAGATACTCTCACCTGCTACTCTTTTAACCCAGAAGGCAAGTGTGACACCCACACCCCCGGGGGACTTTGAACTGGATCACCTATGTAAGGCACAGTGGCGCCAGGTCCAGAGCTTGGCGAACTCCTGGAAACGGTGGAAGCAGGAGTATCTGGCAACTCTTCAGCCTCGGAGGAAGTGGACCGAGGAGCAGCCTAATCTCCAGGACGGTGACGTTGTTTTGTTAAAGGACGTTCAAGCACAACGTAATGACTGGCCTCTTGGTCTGATAGTAAAGGCCATTCCAAGTTCGGACTGCAAGGTGCGAAAGGTCATGGTGAAGACCTTAGGTCAAGGGACAGTTAAAGAGTACCTTAGGCCCATCAGCGATGTGGTGTACTGATACCAAGGGTAAAGAGATGTAAATAGTGGTAAACAGGTTTACCAAGTGGGGAGTGTTCTGACACCATAGTGTATTGGCACCCCCTAGTGGCAAAAGTCGGTACTGTAGCTTTAAGGCACCAAATAGCGCGACTCTCCTTCTTGTGTTTTAGTTTACACAGCAAAGCCATGCAGAGCACATCGTAGCTCAGTGCTATGCCACAGATCATTTTGTTTTAATCCTTGGAGTAGATCTGTCTGTAAGTATACAAACTTACCTGTGTGCCAAGTTATGTGTTTCTAAAATGTGGTTTAATTGATTGTGTGGTTTCAATGTTTAAGATAAACTAAGCTAACTAGCTGCTAAGCTAACGGACATAGCTCATTCTTAGCATAGGCTGTTGATTATACTGCACTCTATTTGCATTATGTTGCACATGCATGGGCGTCGCAGCCATTATATGAGGGTGGGACAAGTCCCCCCCACTTTTTCAAATGGTTAGTTTAGACCCCCCCACTTTTACTATGCGGAAAGTCCGTGAATCGGTCTATCCACTCGCCACATTTTGTAGAGCGCTGTGTCAGTGCTTCACTATCAAATGAAATCCATTCCACTTGCTTATTGAGAGAATGCCCAAATCAATGAAACTCCGTACCATGTTTTCACTGCTACTTTGTACCAAGGCAGATTCTCACATAGCGCGCGCATGTTCAAGGAGTGTTGTCATAGTTGGACAGCTCAGATCTGTTGTATGAAGCGATGCCGGTAGCGGAGGTAAGGCACACACACCAAATGTTCAGGAAATGGTTAATACAGCGAAAATCAAAGCTGACGATCTCTTGGTTTGATATGTTTTCTCCCCCAGACAACATGGACATAAGAACATTTTTTCAAAGAAGAGGAAAGTAAGTCATCAGCTGGTAGCAGTTAATCAGTTAACAGTGATGGCGGCGTCTCACTTCTGGAGAGGAGTTTCGTCTTTATGTCATGATAGAGAGATACAAATACTGAATAGTTTAGATGAGAAAAGGCATCGAAATGCCAGGTTACTAGTATTTATCATGTAAACAGGGAACATGAATAACCCGATCTCTCTGTGCTCATGTAAACACCATATCCCCAATATGATCATAACCGGGATAATACTCATGAACGGCTTACTGATGTCCATGTAGAGACGCAGTCAGTGTAATTACTGGAGCCTCAGTTCGATAAGAGATTATTTTCTGAGTTCTTTAACTTAGGTACTCTCTCTCAAAATGGTAATGTGCATTATGTTTTAATTATACTTCTTATCATTCAGAAGCTTTTTGTGTGTGTTTATATTTTACTGAGTGCTTATAGGCTATTTCCATCCCAGTATTCAGTTAACTATTTATTTTCTGTGCACATTACATAGACTAGCTAATATTCTACCTACTGCTTGGGACTGAGTCTTCAAAATGTCCAATGTCACAGACTGGGACTTACTTTAGAGTCAGTTGTATTTACATTCAGTATGACTTGTTATGATTCAATGTGAAAGAGTATACTGCTCAATAAATAAGTATCACTTCACCACCTCTCTTGACATCTAGGCACTTGAGAGTGAGTCAGAGGCAGAATACAGGGACAGTGGAGAGAGGTCCATTGCTGAGGTGAGTGATGAAAGGGAAATGACAGTTGAGAGTAAATTGTGATGTGGACTCTCATCCCAGGATTTTAAGGAAATCAGTGGGGATATTGAACAGGAAACATTTCAGTCAAGGGGCATCATATGACCAATATAGACAGAAGAGCAACATTTATTTGAACATTTAAGTCAATGATACCATTCCTAGGTGAACTTAACATCCGTATGGAGTCAGATCAGTCTCAATATTAATAAATGCTCACAGAAGGATTCACAAATGTATTTTGCGATTTATATATAAATGACTCTCCACAACAATATCTCTCAATGCACTCACAAATATTTATTGTTGTATATAAATGTACAAAAAATGGGCATTTAAACTGCTTTTTATTCATTCAAAGACAGCTCTGAATTAATAATCAAATATGTTTCCTTTCTTTACTACTGGATGAAATTACAAAATGTACCCATCATTTTCTTCATGCTAGTATAGCCACATAAAAGTATCAAACCACCTGTTAAAATGCACCAGAATACAGGAAATCTATATTTTGTTTCACCCCCCATTAAAAATGTCCCCCCCACATTCAGGATGCTTCCTACGCCCATGTGCACATGTATTATTTCAATTGTGTAACTTGTGTTGTATTTTTCTGTTTATTCTTGCAGTTTTACAATTTCAAGCCTCAGTAAATGGTCAACTCAACAACTGTCTTCTGAGTCTTTGTTCGCTATCTGTTAAGCTATGCAGTGCGATGCATACGCAAGGGCAGAATAGTTACCGTTCATGGTGTTCGCGGGTCAATTTTGACCCATGATTTATCTCCATCTCCAAAACACTCCAAAAGAATGACTATCATCCAATATTGTTTTAACTCCATCATAACCTTTACATTACAACAGGATTGTTTGGTCATTATTTTGGAGATGGAGATAAATCATGGGTCAAAATTGACCCGTGAACACCATGAACGGTAACAGCTTTCGAACACAACACAAGGGTTAAAGATGAATATGACATGTTGTTCACACTGACTTTGATTGCTTACCATGTCACTGGACTCTAATCTTCCAAATGAATGTTTATTTTATGTGTGATAATGTACACAATTTTAGTATGGACAATATGTTACTTTATTTCTTTATTTCATTCAACATGTATTATTAATTACTGTGTGTATGTAAATGTGTTGGACAATTGCAGGACTAGCCCTCACTCCATATTTGTTTTATTTCTGACTCGGATGATAAACCAGGCCTGTCATAAAATGCACCCCACCCAAAAAGATGTTTCTATTAATCCCACCCTCAAGCATTATTTAGGGTATAGTTGTAGGACTAGTACCAATGAATGGAGCAAGTTTCATGAATGTGACACTTTTATTTTGTAAGATAGCAAGGGGGGGCATATTGTGATAACCAGGCCTGTCATAAAATGCACCCCATCCAAAAAGATGTTTGTATTAATCCCACCCTCAAGCATTTTTCAGGGTATAGTTATAGGACTAGTACCAATGAATGGAGCAAGTTTCATGAATGTGACACTTTTATTATGTAAGATAGCAAGGGGTGCATAACGTGGCAAAAATCTGCTGACAAAGACTATGTAACATTTGTAAACATATATTTTGATTATTATTATTATTATTATTATTATGAAAAGGAAGTGACGAATGAATTTCGACACCACTACCATCAAATACGGAGCAAAAAGTTTAACCACAAGAATCAAGACTATATGAGCTACCACTAAACAACTCACAGTCTGAAAATTACCATTAATAAAAACCCTGAACGTTTACTTTCGTTTTAAACATCGTTTTAAGGTGTAAACGTGTCATTTAGAAATGCGCGTTCCCGTGACAAGGGGGGCATTTCATGATGGGGGTGCATAATTTGACACAACACTGGTATGACATCTGCTACTTTTCTTTAGCCACTACAATGCTTCTAGACTAGACTAGAGTGACAGAAGCATAAACTTTCTTCTTCTCTCGGTTTTTGGCGGATTGCAAACAACTTTAAAGGTGCATACCGTTACCTACTGTACATGAGTGTGAATCATCATATCATTCCATCATGGACGTATCTATGATCTAATCTAAAAAAAAAATCAAGAAAAAACATAAAATAAATAAAACAAAATACAAATCTATGATCTTTCCTGACCTAATGCTGCCTCTATAACTTTAGCCTTTAGTTTTTCTCTTTCCGCTTTATAGATGTCACAATGTAACAAGATATGTTCATCTTCTTTAACTCCACAGCTCCCACACTTGTCACTGTCACTTTTCCCCATGATATACAGCGTACCATTCAAAGCCGTGTGATTTATTCTGAGTCTAGCTATCGTGATTTCCTCCCTTCTGTTTCTTTCTTTATAAATATTAATTGTAATTGTCTTTTGCACTTGATGATACTCTTTGCCTTTCTGGTCTTTCTCCCACCTTTTCTGCCAGATCTCCATCCCTTTTTTCTTAATTACTGCTTTTCCTTCTCCTTTTCCAAGTTTAACTGGTAATGTGATTTCCTTTTGTAGTGCACTTTTTGCTAATTTATCAGCACACTCGTTCCCTTTCACCCCCTCATGAGCAGGCACCCAGCAGAACTGCAGATCTATACCGCTTCTGTGAAGTCTTAACAGGCTGATTAAGTTCTATGAGAATGTCTTCTCTGACAGTTGTTGACTGTATGCTTTTTAATATGGATAATGAATCTGTGTATATCACCAGCCTATCTGGTCTGACCTCTTCAACCCACTGTAATCCTATTATTACTGCCAGCATTTCTGCTGTATACACTGTCGTACGCTCTTTTTGAGATCGATATTTTAAAGTCTGGGATGTATACCAACTCCAACACACTCTTCCTTGTTCTTAGAACCATCTGTGTAAATGTTTAGGTAATTGTAGTAATTTTCGTTCAAATACATACTTGTTTTAATTCCCACTTCATTTATTTGCCACTCTTTTTTCCTTTCTACGATACTCATATCTATGTTAGCTTCTGGGAAAAGCCATGGGGGAACACTGCTAAATGGGCTTGCTTTAATCATAAACTTTGTATCAGAGGTGGGAGAAGTACTCAGATCTTGTACTTTCGTAAAAGTAGAAATGTGAAGAAATACTCTAATCCTGTATTCAACAAGTTACTCAAATAAAAGTACTCATTATGCAGATTTGCCCATTTCACAATCATATGCATTATAGGTTTTAGTTTATAATTATTGATGCATTAATGAGTTTATCAAGCTGTTAAAGGTGGGACTAATTGTATTTACTTAATGTACTGCTTGTTAACATGTCAATTTAACCCAGGTGTAACTAAAGTCTTATTTAAGGGTTGATATTGTTTATCATTAACCTATATCTGCAAAGTAACTTAAAGTGCTGCATAAATGTAGTGGAGTAAAATTACAATATTTACCTCTGACTTGTAGTGGAGCAGTCCACAATCAGGCCCCCCCCCCCCCTACCTCACAGACCTGCTACACCACCACATCCCTTCTCGCTGCCTCCGCTCATCAGAAGCCAACCTCCTATCCATCCCCACCCGCATCAATCACCGGACCTGGGGGGACAGAGCCTTCTCCGTTGCTGCCCCCTCCCTCTGGAACTCACTCCCACCACCCATCAGAGACTGCACTGACCTCACCACCTTCAAAAAACTCACCTCTTCAATCTGGCTTTTAATGTGTGATTGTTTTTGTATTGCTTGATTTTGATTTGACTTTAACTATATTTATTTGTTGTTCTTTTCTTTCCACTATCTTTGTAAAGCGACTTTGAGCACCTGTAAAAGCGCTAACAAAATAAATATATTATTATATACTAAAGCCACCTTTAAACCAACACAGTGCCCCACTCCCACATGTTTCAACTGCAAGAATAAACTACATAATTGGCATATAGGAGTTATAATTCAAGGAAATCTTAATAAAACTGATTTGAAAAGTGTGGCCAGTTAGAGTATACTGCAGAAAATCAATCTTTGTTACCTGTGTGAGTAAATGGGATGCACAAATATATTTGTATATATTGCAGAGTAGGTTTTAACTTACAACGAATGTGCTTTGGAGTGATGTAAGAAATGAACAAACATAAAACCATTATATTATACGTAAAAAATAAAGAAAATAAAAGGAAATGTTTATAAGACACATAAATATACCAGAAATACACACAAAAAGCTAAGTACAAGAATATGACAAATAATTCTGAAAAATAAAATGTGTGCAGTACAATTTTAAATTATAAAAGCTGTGTACTTTAAAAAAAGGTATTATTGAACAGAAATGTGCAAAATAACAAGAGAAATATGAGAAGTGCCATGTTCCTGCAACTATACAACAAAACCCCTTGGATTCACTTTCTGGTGATTGTCCTGTTTAGTTGCAGGGACAGGTATAGACAAGTTGTATTTTAAAATGATGAAGTCGTTCTCAAGTTTGAATACACTTATGAATACATCTTTTGTTGGAGCAAATTGGTGGTTCCAAAATCTGCGTATATATAACACGGTATGTATTTTGGGACATACTTTGGACAATGCTATCAAACTTGTGCTTTTATGAGCAGAAATAATGCCACGTTTAAATATGTTATTCAAAACATGTCGTATAATAATATTCAAATGATATGGCATACTCTTAAAATATATAAATGAGTGAGTTACAATGCTGAATGCTATTTTACTTGTATTGGTGAGACCCACCATTGATATTATTCAATTTTACTGCATTTACGTTAAATATGGACAAGATCCAAAACTAAATACAAATCACATTTGAGTTTAACTTACAGAGAGAAAATAGTGTATGTGTTCAAAAATGAAAGTCAAGGCACAATTCCAAATGAATACATAGTTTAAAATGAGTTGTGTGTTTATCTATATCAAAATTGCATGATATCATCATCATATCATCATTGTATGATATTCAAAATAAACAGGGCATTGTGCAATAATAGAGTTTGAAGTTTCAACATGTTGAATCGGCCACATGGCCCAACACATGGCCCAACACCCACATGTCCAAGTTGAGAAAGGTTCAGCATGAGTTGGAGGAAGCTCAGAAGCGTGCTGACATCGCTGAGTCCCAGGTCAACAAGCTCAGAGTGAAGATCCGGGATTCTGGGAAGGTAACTTTTTCATTTTCTTTATGTCATTTAATAACCATACATATATTTAATATATATTATTTTTTTTGCATTCCAGTGTAAACTACACACACATGTTCAGTAACCAATAACCTCTGAAAATGAAAGGCAAGCCATATGGCTGACAATAATATATATAGTCATAACTAGCTTTGTCATTCTGTAAACTGTTTCAGTACTGATTCTCTCTCTCTTTTACTTTCAGGGAAGTGACTCCGCTGAATGAGTTAAGACTCTCAGCTGAAGCATTTGATCCATACAATATGAGTCCCTGGGAGTTTTCTTCTCTCAATCTTCAATAAATGTTAAACCAGTCACAAGTGTTGTTTTCTTTTTACTTCTTGTTTGTCATTTTCAACATGAGATATCCTACTTAGCACAGAAAACTCTTACAGGAAACTGTGTTAAACCCTGTGGGTCAAAACAAAGACCTCACTGGCGACTTAGTGCTGATGCTGTTGTAGTTAATTTGACATGATTAAAAACTAGCTTTAGTTATGTAAAATGTCACAAATAGGCCAAAGAAAGTTGTTTCACTAACCAAGTGCAAACATGAATTTAAATGTAGGTATATCTGTTTTTATTGACGTTTTACAGAGCAACCTAACATCTCTCTCCTATGATAAGCTGCTCAAACAGTATAATCATTAAATATATTAAAAGCATTATCATTGAAAAAACAAAGCAAAAAGTTCCCACTCAGACAACTGTGCTAGAAACAAGTAAACCATGTATATGTTTATGGAACATTGAACCAGCAAACAACAAAAATAAAATAAAAATGGCTCGACAAATAAGCTGTCCTTAAAAAAGAAACAAAAGAAACTTGTAATAAATGTGTACTAATGCGACTGCTTCTAATAAGTGTGGGAATATTAACACTACAGATTTTATAAACATTGTTCATTCAATTATTTTGCAAACCATTTAACAAATTCCTACACTATTTTTTATTGCCACCAACCTTTCTATCTTTCTTGCCACCTCCCTTTCCCTGGTCTGCCTTTTCCCTCCCTTTCACTGGCTCCCCTTTACATTTCTGTCCTCCTCGAGCCATTCCCTTCTGCAGCTGAGCTGTGTGAACCTTCTCAATCCGAGAGAAGCAGTTTTCATCTGGACTCAAGGGGCTGGCCATGCTCCTCTGTTCATGTGGGTTGGGAGATGAAGGCCTTGTGTGGGCTCTTCTGGGACTTGCATGGCATGAAGAGCAATGCTCGTACTGGACATCTTCTTTAGGGACAAGGTTTAACTTGAAGGACAGGGATCTGCCAAGCGCTGGGCTCAGAGGGATCACAAGGTTGTCTCCAGGGGCTCCTAGAGTGAGGAAGACTTCTGGGAATGTGCATGGTTGGTCCATATTCGTATGTACCTTTACCAGATGAGAGTCAAATAAGCATAGATGAAGGCATGCATCTTTTATTCAGACAATAATCTTAACAATAGGCTAAAAATCTACACAAGCTGTATCTTACCAACTCTGGTGTAAAGCTCATGGACACCCTAACTGTCACCTGTAGGGGGAAACATCATGTCATTCATTGTTTTGTATAAATTGGTACAGGAACTCTTATTTAGTCTTATTTAAATGCATTGGTGGCCAACCACAATAACAGTTCAGATACTTTATAACTTGAAAGCAGCAAGATAGTATGTAAATAAACTGAAACAATTAACTGATGTAGAATACGGTCATTTATATCATTAAAAGTTCAACTGAAACAAGTTCGATTTCTTTACTTTCCAACGGTTTGGGATCCATAGGATTGGTAAATGCATGTAAACTATTGACGTCACCTCTGCTTATTACAAATCAAACATATTAATACATTTTTCTTCTCCGTGCAATAACTCCCAATAAAATCAAACACTGTTATAATCAAGGTTAATAATGTACCTGTCCTGGGGAATTTAGCTTCTTCTGATAAGCTGTCTCTTGGGAAAATGAAGCAGATTTAGGTAGGGATCCGGGAGAATCGTATTCTGCATGAGCCATTTGATAGGTGGGTCTAGAAAAATCCTTCCTTGATGTTGTTGGTGTACTTTCAGCAACAATGATACATGGTGGAGAAGTCTAGCAGGAACAAATAAAACAATAATAATTAAAAGGCAGTTGAGCTGTCAATTATTCTGCTATAAGCCCGCTGTGATGTATAAGGTAATAGGGCCCTTATTGAGCAAATATTTCCATGTCAAAAATCTTCTTATATTTTTTCACTTCTCTTAAAGGTGGGGTAGGTAATTTTGGAGAAATGCGCTAGAATTTGAAAATACACAACCGGAAAAAATCTGATACTTCCTTACAGAGCCCCTCCTCCAACACACACAAACGCGCACATGACCAATGAGGGCACGAGATAAGTTTGTGCACAGATGGAAGGCTGACAGGCAGGTAGGCCATCCAGTTATTTTAGCCGGGCCGGCTAAAATGATTGGTCGTGCTTTTTACAGCGCCACGGCTTCCACAGATGAAATTTTTTTATGTATTTATTGTCAAAGCATTTAATATATTTATTGCTATCGGGATGTTAAGAGCATTCCATGGAATATAACAAAAAGTCTTTCTGAAATAAATTACATACCCCACCTTTAATCACACCTTTTCTTTACAAAAATAAAGATAGTGCAAATACTGTATATTCCATATCAACATTACATTTAGCAATACCTGGCAATAATATGTTTGTGCCTTCAATAATGTAAATGTTGTGTAACTTACTGGTCCATCCTTCGGATTGCTACCATTTTCTTTTCTTCCAGAATTTCGACTTTTCTCTGACAGGGGAGGAAGTGCAACACGCTGATCGTCTAGCCGATAACTCTGACTGGAAGTAATGACTTCAAAGAAGTCACCCGCCTTTGCACCTGTTATGGAGAGACAGGAGTTATTTCAGTGACATTTCATAGAGCATCAACACATGCTTGACCTTGCCCTGTGTGTTTTTCCTGACCTGAAGGGAGTCTATTTAAAGCTCTTCCATTGTGTGTGGGAGTGGCATGTGTGCTTCTGCTGGACTGTAAAGAGCAACGCTGCTCTTCCATTCGTCCGCCTTGTGCATGATTCATCATTTTCAAGAACTGTTTCTGTTCAGATGGAGATGCCTCCTAAAAAACATTTAAAGAAAATCAATAAGTAGCAGAACAACTCACAAACATCTTAGACAATAAAGATCGCAACTCAAAATGAGGACTAAAGGAAACAATCACCCCTTTTTCTTTAATTTAATGAGTCTGAATATTCAGAATTTATATCATATTAAAGGTCCCCTATTCTACTGTTTTTCATGAATATATAATAGGTCTCAGATATATACAAAACATGTCTCTGAAGTGTTTGGCTCTAAATATCAAACAGATCATGCATTGCCGCATCCCATAATCCCCTCTGTTTCAGCCCTGTTTCAAAAGGGCTGATTCTGTGTCTGTTACTTTAGATGAAAATAAGGAGCCACTCCCCACGCCCCATGAGATATTTGGTTAAAAAGAACACAATGGTGCTCTAGGAGGAGATTCAGGTGATAAGGTGGGGGGGGGGGTTACCTTGGTTGGTGATTGGCTAATGGTTACACAAACCCAAAAATCGTTATGACATCATAAAGTGGCCGAAATCTGATCAGTTCATTTGCAGGTTTTTTCAAAAAGTGAGCAAATCTTTTTTCTTAAGACTTTCAGAATCTCTTTACACAGAGGGGACACGTGTTTATGTATAACAGACATGAAAAAGTGGATTTTGCATAATAGGTTACCTTTAATGTTTTGCTTAATATCCATATTTGATAGTAGCAGAGGGTAAGGGCAAAGCTTTCAGCACTGTAATGGGCAACATGATGTCTCACCTTCTGATGTTCGAAACGGCTGAAGGACAAAGACCTTTTGAGAGTCAAATCAGATGTGCTTGAACTGGGATTATTTCCTTTTTGAGTAGATGGGGTTCCAATATTTAGGAAGGGTGCAGAACATCTCTGTCCATCCATCCTTGAACCCTGTGGGAGGAATATAGGATTCATCATGATAATGTTTGAGCAAAACACTTGGAAGCGCTGTTGAACATATTCTACATGTGCAAAAAAACGTGTCAAGACTTTGTAGAACAACATTTAAAAAAAAATGCCAACACATTTACACAATGGGCTTTACAACATATTATGTATGGGGCAAACCTGGGCTTTGGAGACCATGTAGCACAAGTGGCTGGCATCCCTCTCTGCAGCAGTTGATGTTGAGGTGGTACCTCCATTCTGTATCCCTAAAGAAGGAAGAGATGCTCGCTGGTCATCAAGCCGTCGGCCCTGAGAGTTGGACAGCAGGCTGAAGAAATGTTCCGAATTTGGACCTGGGATTAAAAAACAAGAGATATTAGTTGTACATTCAAATAGGTAAACAAGAGCTTAACATGTAAGAGCAATGAAACTATATTATTATAAAATTAAATGCAAGAATAAAAACAGCAAGACAAACATGTTTGTGCTCAAACCTTTTGGAACAGTGCTCTGACTGGCATTTCTATTGGGTGTGGACTTGGGAGTAGCATTTAAGACACATCGCTGTTCATCCATTCGCCCACGCTGAGAATTATCCATCAAGGAACAAAGATAGTCCTGTTCACCTGGAGTCAAGTCCTAGATGGGTGAAAGGTGAACAGAAAGGATGTATGTCAATAAATTAAAAAATCTGGAAAATAAATTAGATGCAAAAACAAATGGTCAACATTGATCTCATTGTTTCAATATAATGTCATTTACTTTTGAAATTACAAATGATCGCACTGACTTGAGCCTGTAGCTGTTTTTGAGATGCTTTAACTTTATTCTTTTGTTGTTCTATTTCTGAGCCGGGGCTGAATGAGGCTGAACGTGTAGGGCCTGAACCAGTCCCCAGTGTGTTCTTATTCGTTGAACACCGGGTCTCCGTGGGCAGGATTTTTGGTAGTGAGCACCTTTGCTCATCCATTCTGGAATCCTGAAAATGCACAAGAGTAAGATTTCTCAGTATTTTGGATCAGGAGGCACACTTATTTGACAACAAAAGGTTGAACAACAGCTTTCTGTAAGAATGTGATTTTAACTTATCTGTGAAAGCCACTCGTACAAATGAGATATTTCAGCTTTCAGCATGCTTTTGAAGCATATTACTGTACATTCAAACATCTCTGTAATGGCTGCTATAACAAATCACATTTCAGTTATAGTTTTTTCCCCATTAAGGTTTCATATTTGTAACATCTAAAGCAGTGGCGGTCCTAGACCAATTTGACTGGGGGGGCCAGGCTGGGGCCAGTTATTTCATGAGAGGGGCACAATAAAAGCGGGTTAAAAAGACAAAGACAGTATAAAGTAATTATGTAAAATAAACATAAAATACAGTAATTGGTATTTGTTTTTGTAAAGGTATTTGTTTTAGTAAATGTAAGTTACAGTCCTTTGTTTCAGTATTTTTTTTCATTTAGAGTATTTGTTTTAGTAACTTTAAGTGACAATTTAATTAAAAAATGTTTGCTTTTATAAGGTAATGAACAGTTTAATCTCCCGTGTGCATCCGGATCTCTGATTTGATTTAGTTCCAATAAACACTGGCCCCTGTTGGTCCCCCCCTAGAACCGCCCCTGATCTAAAGTATTTTAGTATGTTGATCTATTGCTATAAAGAATGTTAAATATTTGTCATTTAAATAAGAAAACTACTTGCCTGAACTTTAGAGACCATGAAACACAAGTAGCTTGAGTCTCCCTCTGCAGTAGATGGGGCCTCTTTGTTTTGTAATCCTGGTAAAGATGGAAGAGCCACACGCTGATCGTCGAGTCGTCGGCTTTGAGCGTTGGCCAAGAGGCTGAACAACATTTCAGGATCCTCACCTAGCAAGATTAAATGTGAAAATGTTATGCAACTGTATAGACAATCAACTTTGAAAAATGAAAACACAACTTGTCAGATTTGCTGGTAAGAAGAAGTTTCCAGAATAAGAATGCATTTCTAGATGTGTTTAAAGTGTGGACTTGGGAGTAGCATTTAAGACACATCGCTGTTCATCCATTCGCCCACGCTGGGAATTATCCATCAAGGAACAAAGATAGTCCTGTTCACCTGGAGTCAAGTCCTAGATGGGTGAAAGGTGAACAGAAAGGATGTATGTCAATAAATTAAAAAATCTGGAAAATAAATTAGATGCAAAAACAAATGGTCAACATTGATCTCATTGTTTCAATATAATGTCATTTACTTTTGAAATTACAAATGATCGCACTGACTTGAGCCTGTAGCTGTTTTTGAGATGCTTTAACTTTATTCTTTTGTTGTTCTATTTCTGAGCCGGGGCTGAATGAGGCTGAACGTGTAGGGCCTGAACCAGTCCCCAGTGTGTTCTTATTCGTTGAACACCGGGTCTCCGTGGGCAGGATTTTTGGTAGTGAGCACCTTTGCTCATCCATTCTGGAATCCTGAAAATGCACAAGAGTAAGATTTCTCAGCATTTTGGATCAGGAGGCACACTTATTTGACAACAAAAGGTTGAACAACAGCTTTCTGTAAGAATGTGATTTTAACTTATCTGTGAAAGCCACTCGTACAAATGAGATATTTCAGCTTTCAGCATGCTTTTGAAGCATATTACTGTACATTCAAACATCTCTGTAATGGCTGCTATAACAAATCACATTTCAGTTATTAGTTTTTTCCCCATTAAGGTTTCATATTTGTAACATCTAAAGCAGTGGCGGTCCTAGACCAATTTGACTGGGGGGGCCAGGCTGGGGCCAGTTATTTCATGAGAGGGGCACAATAAAAGCGGGTTAAAAAGACAAAGACAGTATAAGTAATTATGTAAAATAAACATAAAATACAGTAATTGGTATTTGTTTTTGTAAAGGTATTTGTTTTAGTAAATGTAAGTTACAGTCCTTTGTTTCAGTATTTTTTTTCATTTAGAGTATTTGTTTTAGTAACTTTAAGTGACAATTTAATTAAAAAATGTTTGCTTTTATAAGGTAATGAACAGTTTAATCTCCCGTGTGCATCCGGATCTCTGATTTGATTTAGTTCCAATAAACACTGGCCCCTGTTGGTCCCCCCCTAGAACCGCCCCTGATCTAAAGTATTTTAGTATGTTGATCTATTGCTATAAAGAATGTTAAATATTTGTCATTTAAATAAGAAAACTACTTGCCTGAACTTTAGAGACCATGAAACACAAGTAGCTTGAGTCTCCCTCTGCAGTAGATGGGGCCTCTTTGTTTTGTAATCCTGGTAAAGATGGAAGAGACACACGCTGATCGTCGAGTCGTCGGCTTTGAGCGTTGGCCAAGAGGCTGAACAACATTTCAGGATCCTCACCTAGCAAGATTAAATGTGAAAATGTTATGCAACTGTATAGACAATCAACTTTGAAAAATGAAAACACAACTTGTCAGATTTGCCGGTAAGAAGAAGTTTCCAGAATAAGAATGCATTTCTAGATGTGTTTAAAGAGACTTTATGGATACAGCCAGTTGTTTGACGTACTCGCAGCAGGCTGTTGGACTCTGTGTTTCGGTGTGCATGGTGCACTCTTGCTGGGATCAAAGGAACAGCTTTGGTCGTCCATGCGTCCACACTGGGCACCGCTGATCATATTGATGAACTTCTGCTGTTCATCAGGTATTTGTTCCTATTGGAAACAAATTTGAGATTAAGATTTGACCAAATGAGCAACTCACAACATTTAATAATGCAAACCATAGTCAAAAGAGTCATTAGAAGCAACATGCATTCATTTAAGCAACCAGAAAGACAGAACAAACCTTTATAGAAGCGCTGCGTTCACGCTGACAGTTAACTTGTAATTGGTTGTCTGGTGTGAACAGAATCTTCCTGTTGAGATCTGGAGTGCTCTCTGTCAAAGAAATCTGAGGTGCAGAGCCACGGTGGTTATTATTCCTAGGTGCCTGAAAAAAAGGTCATATTTGGAGTATCAAAACACATATGCAGGTGTATGTACCAAGCCCTCTAAACTGGTTGTCTACCTGAAGGTTAAACCCTGGCAATGACATTCCGAGTTCAACAAGGTGTTGTCCCCCAAAGTTTGATCCTGTTTGGGAGCAGGTGTGAAACAATCAACAATCAATCTTCAAATAACATCATCAATGCAGTAGTCTTTGTGTCTGCTGTCCAAACCTGGAGCTGTAGTTTTGACCGGTTCCGTTATAAGAGGACTCAAGGAGCAACGCTGTTCATCCATTCGTCCACGCTGAGTGTAACTCATTATGTTGTTGATCTGCTCATGTTCTCGGGCTTCCTGCTGAACATCAGCCACTTGAAACTTAAATGTAATATCAGAATATAATCTACAACAACATATTAAGCTTTCAACAGATTCTAAAAAGATTACTTGGAAATATCAGTCAAAAATATAAAGCTAACAAAAAAGCACTGACAGCAAAATGGACACAAACCTCAAAGCACGGGAATAATGATAGGCTGTAAAGGTCTTACCAGCACATTGTTGGTAGCTTCTGATTTCGAGTCCACTCCAGCAGCTGCCATCATGAACAATTAACCGAAAAAGAGAAAGTGTCTACTACTGAAAACTCAATAAAATGTTTAACAGAACAGCAAGTTAGACAAACGTACTCGCTGTAAGTGAAAGAGAACCTATTCAATCCGACTATTGTATGTGCAATGGAAAATGTTTAACCTGATGCACCTCCAGATATGTACTGAATAAAGCTTGGTTGATGCTTTTAAACAGAGTTAAGTCCTAAGTATTAACCCATTGCCATTAAGACCCAAGCCAGTGCTCCGGTTGTGTAATCCCAGATGAAAACATAATCCTCGACATGGAGAGAGATGATCTTTTCAACTGTTGTTTTACATATTCCTGCTTCCAATCTAACTCTGTACTTTGAGTTCATATTTTCATTTTGAAGGCCAAACATCGTCGGTATATATAGCAAGAACAATATGCCCATGTTGTGATATTAAGAAAACAGTCGCAACTCTCGTTAAAAATCTAATCTTGATATATACAATTGTTCTTAAGAAAAGTACATGTCAAAACACTGATTGGTCAAAACTTTACTCATTTAAAGTCAAAGGGAGGATAAGACGTTTTCAGCCTACATTGATCACATATTACATAAATATTCAGACACAACATATACAACAAATTAAAGTATATCATCTTAAAAGTATGGATATTAAGAGAGCATGTGTACATGTGGTTGAATGAGCTATTAAAGTTAAAAGATCTCCACAATGATTTCCTGATTTTGGGATAAGAACGTTGATAAAATGGAGCATTAGTTGAGATTATTTGATCCAATATTTGAAACAAATGTTATGCAGATTAAAATGATTCTAGATGACTTCACAAGACAATTTAAAGTTGATATCATGTTTATTGTATTACTCATTTTTCAACAACAAAGAAACACAGCCATCACACTTGCTCCCAGCAATATATTAAAGAATATGGTAAACATTCAAGCCTTCATAAAACAGCAGTGGAGATATTACATTCTGAGATGAATTGACCACAAACATGGGAAAAAAGGTACCTAGAGGGGAAAAAAGGCACTTCACACTTGCCACTGAATATACGATGCATACTTCTACAGACTTATAGTCAAGTCAAAATATATTGATTGATTTTTGGTGTGAGATGGTCAGGTTTTGTGGGAGTGCTGCAAATTTTTTACACAAATTAGGGAAATCATATATTGTAGTAACAAAAATAAGAATTTGAATCACAACAGTTAAATAATCAAAATATTAATTCTATCTAGTTAAATATTTTATATAATTTTAATCACAGTAGCATACGGAACCCCATTTACAACAAACTAATACAAATAGTTTTCTAAAACAAAACAAAGAATCACAAATGTTTCCATTCATGGCTACATCTAAGATTTCTCCCCATGCTTCACTTCAGACGTGGAAGATGCTGCGACAGAATGCAAGTAACCAGCCTCTCAAATGCAGGACTAAACCCTTATTCCAGTGTATCTTTCCCTGTTTCAGGTGAACTATCTAACTATCAGGATTGGGAACTTGGTCCAGACTCTTCAGGTCATTGAGGAAGCTTGTTGGAGTCAGGATGTGAGAAGACCCTGTCAAGGAGAAAGTGATATTAATACTAAAAAGGCTCAACCTTGAATTGTTGGGATACAGAATTGTGGCCTTTTCAACATTGATTCTCACCAATTAGCACTTCCCATTTCCCATCAGTGGCTCGAGTGACTTCATAGGCGGAGCGCATCTCCGATTGAGACACTCCACCGATCACAAATATAATCAGCCGAGGGCCAGTGCGATATTCTGTCGGAGATTTATTTTTGTGCCAGTGTCCAAAACGTGCACTGCTGTAAAAGAATCGAACATGTCATTTTGATTAAAGGTAGGGCTTGTTTGTAAATGTCAATTATATATTACACTAATCAATCAATAATCCAATTATAGAAACTACTAATAGCATTAAATCATTAAAAAAAATGTATGGAAAAATCCTATAAATCAATTGAACAGAGTCAGAACGCCCAACTTTTCTCAGTCTGGAAGCAAATGTCTCCGTCACAAACAGAGAAGGACTTTACACACTATCTCTGTTAATGTGTGTCATTATGTAACCTCTTTACCAACTGCTATGTTCAGTTCTGTATTGCCAGCCCAAAATAGCCCTTCAAGAGTACATACTAGTGTTAATATTAATGACTACTCAGTTTTAATTCTGCACTTTGCTAGAAAGGAAGGACACGAGCACGGTGCATTATAGAGATTATGAGTGAACCAGGTCCATTAGAGTGGTTTGTATAAGCACCATCACCATGACAGGCATTCCCCGGGGGATTAGAGAGTAGGCAAAGCACAACTTGATTCATTTCACCTTTTCAACTCCCTATGACACAAGCCTGACTCCAACTCAGTTACAGGGATAAAAGCTTTTATTTGACAAAATTATTCTGTCAGTTAATATGTTTGCTTATATAAAAAAACTAAAACACAAAAATACTAACATTTCCTTGGAATACAAAGAAAAAGGAAATGTCATGTTTTCAATATTACTTATTAACCAGTTATTTATAAAACTGTAATTAAGTAACGGGCGCTGTACAATAGCTGCCCACTGCTTCTAGTACTAGGATGGGTAAAAAGCAGAGACAAATGTTCACCGTGTGTTCTGTACATGAACATGTGTGACCAATAAAGAGGGTTTCAACCTCCGATTCTCCAAGTTTAGTTCATATTTGAGGATATTTTTGATGATAATATATTTAGATATTTATCTTCTGTTTCCACCCACCTGACTGCAGTCTGAGTTGTGTTGATGGGAGCGGGGTCAGAGAGGAAGGGCCACTGCTTTCTATCCAGTTTGTCGTCTATGGCATTCTGCAATCGATTAAACACAGAGAGTAAAACGCAGAGAAAAGCTGTGTCAGCAACATCAGGAATCTAACTTTGGCTTTACTACCTCCATGACGTCTTTCATGATGGGTGTCCATCTAGAGAGCTGGTACGTGCTCTCCGTGCGCTCTTTCCGATCTGGCAGCGTGTTCCCTGCATTGCGGCCCTAACAGACAATACAAGGTATGTAAAAAAAACTGAGGAAAAATGACGTTTGAGAATATAACCAAACTAATGAAGAAATTCACCCCAGCTATCAGGTTACAGCCCAGGTTCTGCAGGTTGGTGATGATGTTGCTGTCGGCCTGTATGTTTGCGTGCTGGATGAGCTTGGCAAGGTTCTCCTCCCCAATGCCTATATCGATAAAAAAAAATATGATAAAACAGTGAAGGCAATGATAACACTCAATTGTCTGCTTTACACTTCTTATCAAAGCTTATGGTAATATTAAAGCTTCTAATTAATGGTTAAAAATGTTGAATTGGTCCAAAAAGAAAAGATTTGGACAAGGACGCACCTTTTTTCTTGTAGAATATGTAGAGCAGTATGATGCGGATTTTGTCATAGACCTCAATTTCATTGTTGAGGAGCACAGGAACAATGCTCTTCATGGCATCCTTAAGAGGTTCCCCTTCTGCATTTGCTCCCATTGCCAAGTCCTGTGAATAACAACATGGTGGTTGACCATTAACTTTAACTGGCATCTCAATTAACAGTTACAACTTGAATCAGCTGACACACGACTCACAGGGCAGCTGACACAGGAGGATGACTTGCCTTTTAAACTTTACTTACCTAACAAGTTCTTTATAGTCTTACAAGTTACCTACGTAAAAACTCTTGTCAAGCTCTATGATGAATTTTGACAAAGCCTAAAAGGTCAATCAACACTTTTTGTGAGCAAATTAAACTAGAGTGGCTACAAGAGCACATCAAAATGAAATCACATGGTTTAGCTCATAACGTTACAAACATACATATGTATGGGTTGCCCAAACAATGTACAGCACTAAAACAAACGACAGCTGACAGAGAGCCATTGCTGTTTGGATCCCACCGTCAATCTTTGAGCCAATACATGCCTTTTGGATTAATGAGGCAGCTTTCAGACATGCTGTCAATCCATTAGTGTAGGGATAGACTTATTTAAAAGGCTCCATAAACACTTGCATTTCAAAATGCCACAACCATGCGTAGATTGACATTTCCTGTGTGCATGCATCTCATTTAATACTGGACTAAATATGGCAGAGGACCCCCCCCCCCCCTCCCCCCTCAGGGAGACAAAGCATGTGTGGCTCATAAAAACAACACACAGGAGCTTGCTGATGGTCTGAACCTTGGCCTTATCCCAGTCTCATGTTGATGAAAGGATTTCCACATTGCCAAGCAGTACATATATCACGTGTCATTAAAGGCCTTTCCACTCAGTAATGACTTCCTTTGCATTTCTGTTGATATATGGATGTCCATTCCAGAGCTTCCTATGTGTTTTTATGATTCTCTTACTAAATGTAAGATCAGTGGAGTTATAAATAAATATGCCACCCTGTAGAGGTCACTTATCATGCTTAGGGGGTGAGACAGAGTCCTTCTGAAAAGAACTGACTGAAAGGATGTTTATCCAACAATACATAAAGCATGAACAGGCAAATTCCAAGAATACAGAGTAAAAAGGTCATCTATGGGTGCTTTTATCTTCAGGGATGATCATGTTTCTATTTATACCTCCGACGGAAGTGTAACTTCACCCTATGTATTGCCATACTAATGTGGATTAAAATGAACTAGACCTCCAGTGTAAGTGAAGAAAATACATCAATGTGAATATTTGTATGGCCTAATAGCTCAGAGTCTATATGTCAATTAAACCTTCCAAAAGATAATTAATTTCACTTTCACACTCCACAAGAGTACCAACCTGTTCCACTTCACAAAGCTTATCGATAGACGCCTTGAATTTCTTCATACAAGCCTCGGCAAGGTGCAAGTGAGTAGAGTACTGTGAAGGAAAATAAGTCAGGATTATTTATTCATGAATGAATTTGAGGTTAAAACCAAATCATGTGATTTACAAAACCAATAAAACACTTCTAAGCTATAGGCAAGACTGGCAACTCGGATATGAAATAGAAAATGTTTGGAGCGATTTGCGGAGTAATGTCGTGATGGACAGTCAATGTAAAGTCCAATTAACTACAAGTGTTAATAATTTAGTTGTAAATAAAGATTTGTTCAAACAAACCTTTAAATATACTGTCAGAAGTGGTCGTAATAAAATATGTTCAAAATAGTGATTGAGGAAGAAAATAACTCAATGATATGTATATTCCTAAAATAATTTTTTTCCGAGTGTACCTGCTTTACAATAGAAAAATAGATGTCATCAGACAATAATACTCATCGTGAGGGGCTGGTTTATCTTTGTCCCACTCACCATGCTCAGCTCCTTTTGGTACTGTGGCATCTTCTTTAACATCTGAGAGAGATCTTTTATGTTGGACTGAAATAGAAAAAATGTAAACAAAATTCATTATAACATAGCAGATATGTCAGATATTATGAACATCTGTCATGTGAGTACAGCCAGTAACACTCACATTGTCAGTGCACATTCTCTTGCTCTCACAAAAGGAGCGAAGAAGCTCCGTCACTTTCCTGCAACAAAGGGTTTTGAGAATGATGAGTCACCTTATGCAGAAATACATGTTATTACGTCATAATATTACTAAGAAACCAAAGCGTAACTCAGTTTTATGTTATATTTAAAAACATTACAGTCCTAAGTAACTATAATTATACAGTTACTAGTACTTATCATAAATCCTCAAATTACTGCACTCACTTTTGTGTTTTGACATATTATAAACATCAATTTAAAAAGGGAAAATGTAAGGCTTAATTATGCCCCAAAATGTGTTTATTTTATTACTGCACACTAACAAAGGGATTTAATTAATAGGATTAAATAACTTTTCATTACTCTTAACCACATATGATGCTACAATGTAACTAGTTTAATGGCAAAGTATGATATCGAATTGCTAATTCTTCGAGTGCATACAAAGCAAAGTGTGTGGTTTGAAGTTGCAACATAGAAACAAGAAAAAAACAATGGCCAGAAATTGTTAGGAAAGGTTAAAGTTTAACTAAATTGTGTGAAGATATTGTCATCTAGTCGTGACAGACTTACTTAGTGACGTCAGCAATGTGCATGTGTCTGAGCTGGATCCAGAGCTCATCATCTTCGTCCAATAACACTTCTCTGTTATTTGAATCCCCAATGCCAGTTGTCTGATAACTACAAAAATGTAAAAAAAGGAAAACGGAATTGAATTTGGAGAAATTCAATGTGATGAGTACAATATAGAAAAAGATGTTCACTCACCTGTAGATGTCCTGTTTGATGTCTAGCAAGTCATACGCCATTGCCTGGAAGGTCAACTCATGTAGGATGGGTGAGATGGGATCAAACCCACGATCGACAATCAGAAGCTGGGACCGAGCCTTGTCTGCACCCTAAAAAAACATAAATATATGTTCTTACACTGACCAAATATAAAAATGACTTCATAGATGCATTTTTACTTAGTCAACTGTACCCCTTGTTATCATTGTGTGAGTCTGTCATGCAGTGAAAGTCTTATACGCTTTTATAAATAGATGTTTTGATATCACAGTATGATGCAGGATGAGGAAGCGTTTCAGGAAACTAGTCAAGTACAGAAAAGATAAAGAGTAAGACAGCACAACATGGAAACACTTCAGATGTATGCAGAGAAGAAGAGAACAGTAATACATGCCTGTTAAGACCCATCTCAGGAGCAAGGAAATGTCAGCTAAGAAAGACAGAAAAGAAGAGAAGTCCAGCAAAGCATGAGAAAAATAATCAACGGGAAATAAAAGTCAGAAACCACAGAACGTCCACAACATGTGACAGAGAAGAGCAGAAGAATCCCAACGGAAATGTATTCTCTAACAGGGAAGAATTGATTTAGCAGAAAAAAGCGGTATGCAAATTAAGAATACAATAAAATCAAAACAGTCGGGGTCCCTACTGCTTAAGGCCAGATATATTAAAGACTTGCTAAAGCCAAACAGAAATACATTTATGATCAATTTTCCAAACAGGTTGACACTCCAGATCTGCTTGATGAAGCTTTTGATTTGAATCAATGTTACCGGATTTTTTTTAATATAACAAGTTCATTTTGAATTGTCTTTAAAAGTTACCTGCAGGAACCCTGACAGTAGGGCACATCATTGTTGTGCACTATTTTTTGTTTTTTTATTTGTATTTTATAATATATGTTGCATTTTTGGAAGAGCTTGGGTCATACGAATTTCATTGCCATTTCTACAGTGTAGCTTATGTGCATTATGACAATAAAACTTTTAAATTTGAATTGAATTTGAATGTAAGTACTTCCTAACCTCTCCCATGCTTGGGTTGTCTGCTTTGTGAGCAGTAAGGCGCTGGTAGACCTCTTCAGCCAGTCTAGCATTCTCCTCCGGCCCCCTAAGAGAGAGAAAAGTATACAACTGAATGAACAAACTCAGAGGAAAACTAATTTCACTCTAGTGTTATGCAGGGCTTCCATACTTGCGGTAACGGATTGCAGGGTACTCCTTAAGTGTGTCACACAGGGTTGCAATCTGCTCCGCCAGAATTTCCATCATTTTCCCTTTGTCTTCATTTGGCTTAGAACTATAGAAGGAGAACATGGAGGACGGATCATCCAGAGAGAAAACCTGCAGGGGCGAGAGGGCATGAGGTTTGCCTAAATGTAACCATAACTGCATTATTCATATTTTTACATTAACATTGAAAAATTACTTTGTGTATTGTGAAAGGTGTCATTCATTGTAAATCACGGAGAGCTCTAGGGGAGCATTTTAGTGTGGACTCTTTCATTAACAGGCAGCAGTTAAAGTGAAAACATCTCTGATAAACCTAAGCCGGCTGCACAGCACCAAACATCACACCAAAACATAGCTAAAACAAAACTGGATAAGGACAGTGTGGATAAAATAACCAGGTTTGTTAAAGTAAAAACGGAGAGTCTTACCTGAGACTCATACGGCAGGAAAGCAACATTAATCTCTTTTAAAGTCTTGACGACTTTGGAAACTCTGGATCTCCCAATCTCAGCAAAGAGACCATCCGGACAAGCTATGCAAGCAAACATAGGTCAATTAGAAATGGCAATAGCTTTTTGGTAATAAGAAAAATGTTACATTCATTAGGGCTGCTTGATTATGGCAAAAATCACAATCTCGATTATTTGGGTCAATAATTGACATCATGATTATTAAAAACGATTATCCATTTACTTTGAAAACATCAATTTATTGGAGATTTTTTTTTAACAGTATGTTTTTAACATGTGATTACCCTGAACTTTAAGTATAATTCAACTGAAAAACCAATAAAAAAAAAAATTAATAATTATTATTTTTTTTTAATTAATAATAATAATAAAAGAATAATCGTTTTATTTCGATTACGTTGTTTTCGTAATCGTTGCAAGCCATAATCGTAATTGCGATTAAAATACGATTAATTGAGCAGCCCTAACATTCATACATAAAATGTTTTAATGTTTGCAGCGTACATTTAAAAAAAGCTGTTTCCTATGTTTGTATACCATTTCATTTAAATGCAAATATGCACAGTACACTGTATACACACAGACACACACAGACACACACACACAAACAGATTATCTTACTATCAGTGAAGAAGATGTGTGCTGCTTTGTAAGTTAAGGCAGCATCTTTGAAGTCGTTAATGAGAGCACGGACTGACTGTAATTGAAAAAAAATGAATAGAAATGAAAAAAATGAATAGAAATGTTTTGGAAAGTGACGACAGAACATTGCAGATTGATCTCCGAGATAAAAACTCCACAGCTTACCTTCTCCACGGGTGAAATCAAGTAAATAGCCTCGAGACTAGAGATGGGCTCCCTTCGTTTATTGATGTCCTCCACAACTGAAAAGGAGAAAGCAGAGAACTTCAGTCTCAACAAGCTGCCATAGACACTGTTGCTCCTTTCAAAACCAGGCAACCTCAAACTAAATCTGAGCCTTGGTTAAATGACACGACTCGGGCTGTCCGACGGGATTGCCGTAGAGCTGAGCGTAAATGGAAAAAGGACAAACTGCAAGTTTCATTTCAAATGTTGAGGGAGTGTTGGCGTCTCTATCAGATCACTGTGAAAGAGGCAGAAAGCAAACATTTATCTGACATCTTTCTGTCAAACCGTCACAAGCCACGTGTTCTGTTTCAGACTATTGATTTGGTCCTTAATGCCCCCCAGAATACCGTTATGGAGACTTCTACTGCGGTCTGTGAAGACTTTCTTTACTTTTTTATTAATAAGGTAAACTCCACTAGAGCTCAAATCTCTGCTCCTGCAAATGACCCCTCAGTTCCTGCACCGTGCTCTGCTGTCTTTAATCAGTTTGAGCCTGAACAGGGTATATGCAGGAATCCTGAAGTAAAATTTAATACCTTTTAAGACCTTTTTTTAAGACCCTTTCCATACATTTTAAGACCTCATCGCCACTTCGAGTTTTAACCAGTTACATTGGCGACACACTTTACCTCACATTTACTATATACAGTATTGATTGTCCTTCCTCCTTATCTTCCAACCATTTGGACGCAAACTTGCATTTCCCCATAAATAAAGATGTTGTTTTGCAACCGGCGTAAATGGACCTTCTCGCGCTATCAAGCAGTGAGCGTGCGATGTCCTGTTCAGATGACGTCAAATCCAACGGGCTGCCATAAATAAACAACAAAGAATCACACTACGCAATGATTACATTCAGGCAGACTTTAGAATACTACCTCTTTGGACAATTTATATACTTATTGAAAACAAGCTACAAAATGTAATACCTTGGAAAATGCCGTTTATTACTTTTTAATAGCCTTAATTTTCGCTAAATTGATTTATCAACTTTTAACCCCCCGCGGACACCCTGCTGTAGCTCTGTCTTTTGTACAGGAGATTGTCTCCAAGTTAAAGCCCTCTGGTTCTCCAAATGACCCTGTCGCACCTCAACTTTTTAAAAGAGGTTTTCCCGACTGTTGGACCATCTGTGCTGGCAGTTATAAACAGCTGTCTGCTCTCAGGGAAGGTCCCTGAAAACCTGAAGCATGCAGTAGTACAACCTCGTATTAAAAAACCCAGTCTGGATCCCACAGTTCTGGCTAATTTTAGGCCCATTTCCAAAATGCCTTTTATGTCAAAAATCCTGGAGAAGATTGTCTACAGTCAAATTATGTTTTTTCTGGAAGAGAACAATATACTGGAGGTTTTCCAATCCGGTTTTAAAACTATGCACAGCACTGAAGCAGCGCTTTTAAGAGTTTTTAATGACATCTTTTTATCTACGGACTCTGGGGACTGCGTTGTGCTTCTACTTATTGATTTAACTGCTGCATTCGATACAGTCGACCATGACATCCTGATCTCTCGCTTGGAGAAGTGGGCATTGAGGGGAAAGCCCTGGAATGGTTCAGGTCATATCTGAAGGACAGAACTTTCTCTGTCAGCCTTGGTGACTCCGAGTCATCCTCTGCTCCACTCCTGTATGGGGTCCCACAGAGCTCAGTATTAGGCCCCCTGCTATTCTCCCTCTATTTGCTCCCTCTTGGGTCCATATTTAGAAAGCACGGCATCGCATTCCACTGCTATGCTGATGATAGCCAGATTTATGTCCCACTAACAAAGAAGGAGGGTTACTCAATTAGCCCACAGCTAAAGTGTCTAGAGCAGGGGTTCCCAACCTTTATTGTGCCAAGGACCGGTAGATACATTAAAAAAAAATCGCGGACCGGTTGTCAATTTTAACTGATTTTAATATTTACTCACCACCAGCAGGTAGCAACAGAGGCTAATTGTATGTAACAGCCTGAACAAATACTCGAACAATATGCATCCAAAACATATTAACAAAGTTTAAAAAAGAACCGGTGTTGTTTTTTGGTTTTTCGGAAAACCAAAAAACCGACGTTATTCAGTTTTTAAACCAAAACGGGAAAACAGATAAATCAACGTTTTGGTTGTATGATTTACGGATACTCCAGTGAATGCTGGGGAAACGAGGAGAAGGCGCATTATGAAGGAGATGTCCGGTCGCCAGGGTGTGTATGTGTGTGTGTGTGTGTGTGTGTGTGTGTGTGTGTGTGTGACACTGGCATTTGTTTTCAGAAGATATTATGATAGTGTCGTTCGTTCCGGTGCACTCCCGACAGCATAGCACTACATCGAGATTAAGATTAAACTAATTTATTTTGGGAACAGCCGCATATATGCCGGTGTCGGACAGACACAAACACACCGAACACACAGAGCTGAGCTGAGCAGAGCACATACACACACACATCATGCACCTTGGTGACTGACTGGACATCTCCTTCATAAAACTAATAAAAGGGGGAGTAATCGGGAAGTTCGATGTATGTAGATGTGTGTGTGGTTAACACGTAGCAGCCTGCAGTCACTCTTAAACTGTTCTGATTAAGTTAAACACAGCGAAGGCGGTGCGTAAAAAGGCACAGCACCCCTGGCCGACATGTCCTTAAAATGAAGTCCGAGTTTGAAATATATCTCAAATAATGTATGCACCACCATTTCCCCACATAAACATAACAGTCTGCAATCAAACGGTTGTCTCCTGTGCGCTCCTCTTCCTACTTGGCGCACCGGTAACATGCTCGTGAGCACAAGAGGCTGAGACTTTAGGCTGAGCCGCCGAATCCCTCGGAACATCATAAAAGCCATTTTCAACCGTTTTCTGGTGAAAGATTAACTAGCTACTGGATGAAATAATATGACTGGTGGCATAGGTGCGAAAATTAAACACTTTTTGAAATAAATATTATGATAAAATATATTTATATATTTATAATTCTGCAAATATTACGATCAACTCACAGCTATTTCGCGGCCCGGCAGTAACACCTCCGCGGCCCGGTACCGGTCCGCGGACCGGGGGTTGGGAACCCCTGGTCTAGAGGACAAAGGCCTGGATGGCGTGCAATTTCCTAAAACTAAATGAAGGAAAAACAGAAGTAATGGTTTTTGGTAACACCACTGGCACCACTTCTGTAGACCTGGGTTCCCTGGCTCAGTCCACCAAGCCCACCATTACGAACCTTGGCATTAAAATGGACCGTGAACTAAAACTTGAGTCAGATTAAATCTGTGGTAAAAACAAGCTTTTATCACCTGAGGCAGCTAGCCAAAGTAAAACCTTTTCTTTCCAGACAGCAGTTTGAGACAGTAATCCACGCCTTTGTCACCACTCGGCTGGATTACTGTAACTCTCTCTACATGGGGGTCAGTGGGTCCTCCCTCACTCGTCTGCAGCGGGTGCAAAATGCCGCAGCAAGGCTTTTAACTGGCACACGGAAATATGACCACATTTCCCCCATTTTGGCTTCGCTCCACTGGCTGCCAATACATTTTAGGATTAATTTCAAAATCCTTTTATTTACTTTTAAATCCCTAAATGGCATGACCCCACCATATATTTCTGAGCTGCTACACCCTTACCCGCCCAACCGCCCTCTCAGGTCAGCAGATCAACTGCTCCTGAATGTGCCCAGAACCAAGTCAAAGCTCAGAGGGGGCCGTTGCTTCTCTGTAGCGGCTCCCACACTGTGAAATGATCTGCCCCTGCACATCAGACAGGCTGCCACACTGCCTGCTTTTAAATCACTTCTTAAAACCCACCTCTTCTCCTTAGCGTATTAACATCTTTTAGAGAGTTGCTTTTATTGCTTTTAAATTGTCTATTGTTTTTACTTGTACTTGTTTTATGGTGTGTGAGCTGAGCTGTGTTACTTTTTGTATGTTTTGTTTTTTTGCCTGTACAGCACTTTGGTCTGGAGGTTTAAAGTGCTCTATAAATAAAGCTGTATTGTAACAATCTGACTTTATCAATATGCAACGGCAAAAAACCCATGATCATTATAATGTATAGTGAAAAATAAATGCCAAAATGTAAAAGCGGCCAGATGAAAACCAGTGTGTGTGGAACTCTGAGAAGGGCGTAACATACTGTTTATCTTGCATATCATTTTATTGGGTTCTTTTTTCATAAGGATGGTGAAAACATGTGCAAATATAGAATTACCTTTATTGAGATTATGTAAATAAAATGGTTTTGTATGGACTGCATCTTTTTCATTTTGATCAAATCAATCAACATATGAGGTTCAGCTTTGTGAAAGTAGACAGGACACCTGTAAATATTCCTCGATTGCTGATTCCAATTTGATGAGGTTTTGCAAAAGTTAAACATCATTTAAAAAGTGTACTGATATCTGTATGTTTTTAGTTTGAGCGTTCATGTATGCAATTTATTAAAAGGATGCATGAACATTAGTTATCTGCATACTTACTGGTAACCCCTTCTGCCAGAATGTCAGACATCTTGCAGCAAGAGGACAGAATTCGCATGCTCATGTGATCCACGATAAGAACCTGAAGAAGTGAGAGATATACAGGGGTTATAAATTCAGTTTGACAAAATCAGGGGACTTTTTCATTCTTATTGGACAATTGTTACCTTCCATTCTCCATCCTTCTTCACACTTTTGATAACCCCATTGAGGATTTCTGTAGAAGAGAAGAAATACATTTATATATGATTACAAAGTATCAATAATTTCTTGCCCCACATAAAAATGTTAGGTAAAACAGGTAAGTGTATGAAATGTATCAATGACTCCAATACGACAATACCGTGCAATGCGGTTTGTAGATTTGATATTACATTTTATGAGGATCAGATTATAAAAAAGGTATAAAAGCTGTGGCAGGAGGTGGAACACCTTGCCTAAAATGCCGGAAAATAAAACACCAACCTTCAGGGTAAAAGAGAAGAGGCACTATTCCACATAGCTAATTATATTTAGTCTGGCAATTGTTTTGGCCATCATCACATCACCAGGATCGGGTAAGCTTACTTCTTCATCTTAACTTTTCTCGTCTTAATAGTGCACACAAGGACGACAGTGTGTGAAGAGGCATACAAATGAAGAACTACCTCAATGTGATAACATGTCATTTCTCAACTTCCTCAATATTAACAAAGCAGAGACTCCCTAATGCAGGATGGACTCTACAAGAAAACCAAGCCATATGTGGTCTTAAGGTCCTTCCTCTCAACAATTGTTACTAAAGCTCACATTTTTTGATGGTACATACATTCAGAAACTTAACAATGTCTACTAGGACCCAGCAATGACAAACTTCCTTTCTTGCCATGGCCAATCTATTTCTACACAAGGAACTGGAAAATATGACAACTTTTAGCCGGGGCTTTTCCAGCTTAAAGAAGACAGCCTTTAAGCCATATCAGTTTTTTATCTTCGCCTGTGTATTTGTTAATTCAAAAAAAATTAGCTAAATATCTGCCTCCACAATTGCCTTGATGCGAATCTCTCGCCGATACTAAAACTTAAATAAATTAGTCATCAGGCCTAGTTAAAAAATTAATCATTTTTTGTCTGATCTCTGAATCCCTGGCAAGGTGTGGATTATATATTGCCTATAAACACATGAAGATTTTATGAGTTCTGAATGACGGGTGTTTGTTTTCACATTATTTGACATGGGAAAAAAGGTTGTGTCAATGTTGCAAAGAAATGTAGGCTACATTTAGACGATAAATTAAGATGATAAATTAAGAACAACTGTATCACTTCATTAAAATACTGAAATTATTATTTAAACGTATAAGGGTAAATAACGCTATAGTGTTTGTAGATATTTCTGAATACACAATGTATTATTAATTAACTTTTTTATAATTTACGTTGCACACCTAGGCAAATTCCCCGTAGGCCTATGTGTTAAACTACTTGGCAATAAACCTGTTTCTGATTTCTGATTCAAACAATAGCTATTTGTTCATTTTATCAAGACACCTGACCTGATGATTCAATGTTGAAATACAAGTTACTCTAAAACTTCATTGATGTCTAATGTCAGAACATAATAGTTAATTTATTCCATCACAAGTGAAGTTAACCGACTTCCCTTTAGATGAGCTAGCTTGCGTTAGCCTATAACTTTGACTGTCACAACATTTCCAGTCACTGACGCCACGACTATTTCTCTTTTTACATCCGCCAAACATCACAATAACAACCATTTCCCCTCAGCAAAGACTGTTACCAACACATACAGAACAACAATATCAATTTATCACAATAACTTGGTAAGCGATGTCATCAACCAAAGTAAGGTGCGCAATTAATTGGGACAGGAACAGGAAGAAACCCTTTGGTGGCCATCGTCTCCAGCAATGTTTTTGAGCTGAAAGCTGAGCGTCAGTTTATCGAGCTCATAGGTGACGTTTAACTTAACTTTCTACGTATTTTAGTTTTAATAAACTTCTTACAGCAGATAGGGATCAAATGAATGTGTAACTTACTTTCTCCTACTACCGCTTTCAGCCCACTCGGTGCCATCTTGACAGCAGTCTGCTGCTGCTGGTCGCTCGGTCACTTCCTTGTTGTTATATATCGGATCTAGCACACAGCTTTTGACAGTGAAATATTGCCCCCTTTTGTCTGATTCGACTATTGCATGGTCATATCTCATCCACTATTCACAATTTTATATTGTAACCCTACTATGGTTGTGACCTTATGTTTGGAAAAAGTACCATGTCCTAATTCTAATTTAATTTAGCCGGCGCCTTTTCCTAAAGATTTTCTGTAACTAGAAGTCCAACTACTATGTTTTCTTAGGGGTGGATTAACCCCATAAATATAACCAGTAGGCCTATTCATCACTTAGACTATCATAACATAACATACTATAGTACAGCCATTAAAAGAAACAGCTGAAAGAAAGAAATACACACTTTCTTGCCTTAGGAAAAGACTCATCATGACCTATATGGTTGAACACATCCAAAACAATACCACCCTACATTTGGGAGTTCAAAGTAGCTGTCATTTTCAGCTGGATACACCATTTTTTAAATGATTAATGAAAATGTTTTCTAAAGTAGGAAAAAAAAAGTGTTTCCAGATCAAGCATTGCCAAGCAACTGTTGGCTTTTGTAATCAATTCAGGTTTTAATTGAAGTGAAATGCAGACAACTTTTGAAAATAAGAGCATTATCTCAAAGCACTATCCCTCCACTTGTAAAGGAATATAAGATGCATGCTCTTTTAATAGCAGTGCATGTTGGTAATTTTGTTTATTGTAATAGTTTAACATAACCATTCATTATTGGGAATACAATCAGTATTTCACTTTATTACAGAAGTCAAGGCATTTTGAGTTAGTGAAGTTCAAACTAACACAATACTCTACACTTCAACCTGAGGTTAAGGATGTTGCAATAGGCGAATCAAAACGTGTTGCAATAGTTGAAATAAAAACATTTTTTTATGAAAACCACAATTACATTTTAACAAGCAGTACACACATAATCAGTGCCTATGTCTTTCCCACTCCCCAAATAAACAAACACAGGTTGTAAATACACTTTTACAACCTGGATAAAACAGGTTTTAAAAAATATATATAATGTCACACAACTGAAACTAAATGATTACAAATGCAGTCAATTGTTTTTCCATCTCCAATGAATGCAGAAAATGATAATCTATCAGATAAGAATCCTGTTGCAAACTATAAATCAACTGTAATTTAAGGTTAATTTAATTTTCAAATAAGACAACCAAGAACATCAAGCTAAAGGTACCCATACTTCATTACACAGGCAAAAGGCAGTTGTTGCTGAAAAATGGGCCATTTTAAGATATTATCATGAAGAGGGTGAACACTTTTGCTGTTAGTTACTTTGTGATTTGTGTTTGTGCATTCAAATCATCTTATGGATATTTGTTTTACACTTTGATATTAAGGTCTATTTCTGTTGTATCAATATCAAAAATGTCTTATTTCATCCGCTGTGGTACAATGTTGTATGACACTAAAACTGGTCAAAAGCAACGAGGTTGAATAGACATAGATAGGCTTTGCACCTCATAGAATAAATTATTATAATTACATTGGATTGAACTCGATATATCTCAAAAATAATTATTGTATTACAGTGAATCAGATCAACTTGATTGACAAAATGTAAATGAAAAAGGCATATTGGGGAAAAGCAATTCCTGGAAAACACCCAGCACACCTTTGGGGTGTGTTAATTTATCGGAGGTTTCCAAAGGCTCTTACTCCAGTCCGACCCGTTTTTTCACTTTTGCCCCAAAAATATTGCCAGATGATCCTCCCCTGGTGGTAGTGGGAATTTATACATTTCTTCATCTTATTTTGGTCAATTCTCAGTCTCCATAGACATCCGTTTCATTATTCGCTTCTCCTTACGAACTCGCAATTGCTCTTTGAAGTCCTCCAACTCTTTCCTCTGAAAACAAAATATAGCACATCATCAGTTTCAATCATTTTCATCAATATTGTGCTGTACAGCAGGGCTTAAATATTCAAATGAAAAAAAGTAGCATCAAAAGAAAGAGTTCTTGTTTCGTCTATGTAGCTGTATTTACTGGTTTGTTTTAGAATTATATATTGATGAAATAATATTATAGACCCTATGGCAAAAAACTTGAACACAGGGTGTACTGCAGTGCAGACTAAGTAAGTGTTGTGGTAGTGAGAGGGTGCAGTCAATTTTGTTTTTTTATGGAACTCATGTACTTTATAAACCTATGAACTCTGTGCATTATACTTACATGCACTTTCTCGTCGGCTGGGAAGATCTCTCTCTGGATATCGAAAGATGCCATCATAGAACAGAGAAAAAAACATCTGTTATTAACAGTGGTGGAAAGCAACAAAGTACATTTACTCAAGAACTATACTTAAGTACAATTGCGAGATACTTGTACTTTAGTATTTCAATTTGTGTGCTACCTTGTACTTCTACTCCACTACAATTAAGAGGTAAATCGTGTACTTCTACTCCACTAGAATTAAGAGGTAAATCGTGTACTTTTACTCCACTAAATGTATTTTGTACCATTAGTTACTTTACAGATTTTGATTAATGATGTCGTGAAATATAATCTAGACTTAAATAAGACTTTAGTTAAACCTGGAGTAAATTCATAATCTACCATGCAGTACACAAAGTAATTAAAACTAGTTGCACCTTTGATTACACTTTAATGCATCAATAATTATAATCCAAAAATATTATATATATTATTCTGAAATGGGCCATTTTGCATAATAAGTGCTTTTACTTTTGGTACTTTAAGTATATTTTGATGCTGATACTTTTGTACTTTTACTTGAGTAACATTTTGAATGCAGTGCTTTTACTTGTAACGGAGTATTCCTACACTCTAGTACTTTTACTTGTACTTAAGTACAATAAATTAGTACTTACCATCTCTGGTTATCAACATGCCTCATTGAGTGGATAAGTAAGTATGATTTGGAAAAAACCGAAAACGAAAATCAGCATCACTTACCTTCCTCTTTACTATGTACTCTTCAAAATACTCTGCTTGATTTGAGACCCAGAACATGGTCACAGGAAAGGATAGATACACCATCATCTGTCCAAAAACAAATGGACCAGTGAGTGAAACTGTTAACGTTACAAGATGATCACTTAGCCTAATGTTAATGACTAGCTGGATTGAAACACGAAGCCTGGGGCAATTTGTGAGATTCTAAATCTTAAAATAAATACATATTCAATATATACAGACATTATTTAAAAAAAATGTGCTACTCACTCGAAACACCTCTATTTTAACACCCATTTTCACATCGATAGTAGGCCCACAGCAGCAAAATGTTATCTAAACTCCAACCATCGCCAAAGACCTTCACATAACATCCGGGTTTCTTCTTCGTCTTCTTTTGGAAACTATACCGCCACCCTCTGGATTGGAGTGTAGAGCAGTAGATTGAATACTTTCCGGGTTTTTTCTTCTTTTTGTTTTATTGGCATTGACATGGGGCAATACCTACCTACTGGAGTGTGGATCAGAAGGTTGGCAGAAAATAAAAATGGACAAACATTTCTTCCCTTGCCAATTCCCTTATGTAAAACTGAGTATTTCCTCAGCTATTCATGACATCTCTCATATTCATCCCTGTTGCAGTCTATTAATATATGATTTAGATTTTCTCTGAATGCTGTAAATATGTCTTCCTCTCTCACTTAGCCCAATATGTTTGCCAAGGTTTGCATAAGCTTTCACGATAGCTTTAACTTCTTTTTTACTTTGTCTAATTTCTAATTTCCTTATACCTCATAAGCAGGCACCCAAAAAAGGAGATTTCCAATCCCCTATGATGTAAATAAGTAAGTAAATTCTCTGTCCGCATGACAACTTTCAGGACACTGGTTTGGTTATTTTCTTCAACCCATTGCAATGTTCATTCAGCTGTGTAGACAGAAGGTGGCCTGATGGTCTCTTTTTGTTACTGCTACTTCAAAAATAAGGGACAAAGAATGCAACACCTGTTCACCCAGTCTTTGGTTCTTTTGAAGAGGAACATTTTGTTTTGATAATGGTCAATATAGATCTGTGCCCTATACCAGTGTTAGTTATTCTTCAAGTTTAAGGGGCATACTTGTGCCTTTTGATGGCATAATAACTCTCTACGGAGGTATTATTGAATAATTCTAAATTAGACAACGACACATTGTTAAACGTTGACTCATAATGCTCCAAACACTCCAGCGTGAAGGTCTTTTTAGGATTGGGTATACAAAAACAAAATATTTAAATAAAAATAAATATATTTGTATGAGTGGCTGTCCACTGAGGGGCGCTGCGAACCATACTTTTTTCGAGATAGAACTATTTGTGGGCATTTTAGGTAAGAGTTGCAATTTTTACCCGCAGAGCCGTAAAGTAGCTCTTATCTATTTTCACTGAAAATAACTTATAAAACATCAAGGAATTTACAAGAATGTCAGTCTCACTTGTGATCGTGTATATCGTTTATTCTAAAATAAATACAGGGAATTTTCTAAAAATAATTTACTTTATCTTCCAACTCTTTGGAATAAATTATGGTATCATTCAAATTATATTAGGAAAAATATACTACAGTTGTTTGCCAGTTATCCTGGTGCACAGATATCATTTCTCCTCCGCTGCCGCTGAAGTTGCAGCCCGTGACACGCTCTTTACGTCCTCAGCGAAAGACCTACGCGTGACGTCACCGACAACGAGAGGTGTTCAGGATCCTCGGAGAGAAAGATCCCGCGCGCCCTGGCAACCTGATAAACCCAGGTAAACGCCGCTGTTTCAAACATTATTCTGCCAGTCATGTTGTCTCAGTAAACCGAAGGAGTAAACAGCAATAGAGACGGTAACGGCGGTGTAATGGCCTGAGAGGTAGCGCTGATGCCCGGCGCCCACTGAGACCGTTCACTTGCACGGCGGCCTGTTCTGGCTAACTAGCTTGCTAGCTAAAGCTAGTTGGCAGTTGTCTATTAAAAGACACAATAACCGCATCTACATTGTCTTTCTTTCTGACATTCCTTTCCTGTCGCACCAACTGCTGGCCACAAATACGCTG